GTATTGCATCACTCCAGTGTTGCAGCTGTTGTAGGGATGTGATCAAGCAGGGATCTATACAGTGACAAAGTTCTTCATGGCAGCCGATGCGGGATCAAATCACAGATTTTGAATTGTCAAGTACAAGTGTGCTACACTAAGAAGTAAACTCCTGTTATTCAGGCATTTGTGTGGTTTAATTCAAAGCAGTGGAAAGCTGGAATGTTTCAGCTGAATTACCTTCAAGACGGTTACAGATGCAAGATCTACTCTGTGTTTCCTTACATCAGGAAATTGTATGTCTTTCTTTTCTAGATTTGAACGTATTCATACAAAGAAAGGGAACTACAGTAAGTCACTAGTTTCAAACCAAGAAGAAGTAGATGATTTAGCAACCTTGGAGGTACTGGATGAGGTAAGAACCGTCTTTTTCATGTTTCTGAAAGAGGACTAATCACATATTAAAACACAATGGTGTGCTGTTGATTTTCAAATTCAACTGTATTGTCACACTTCAATTGTGTAAATGTACAATGACGTTTCACCTTTTTATAACAAATATTTTAGATAAGATTTACTGTGTCAGAATGATTCCAACTCAAGCTAAAACAATCTCTGCAGTTACAGCCATAGACTGAACAGTATTTTAACACTATTGGCTTGACAGAATTTATATCACTGGGTTTTCTTTCAGCTAAATATCCAGTTTGCAGTGGTGTGTTAACCTGAAATTAGTCCAGGTCCAAGAATAAGCACCTTCTTCCGTGTTGCTTGAACATCTTGAGTTGTCCTAAACCAGCTTACCATTCTCCTCCCTGGATTCTCCCTGTCTTTATTTTGTTGTGAAGATGCACTGGGATCAATTTATGTCTGCTGAGGCTCTGACCTGTCGATGCCTGTTGGTGAAATTTTGGCAGAATTACTGATACGAGTCTCATTGTTTGTCAAAGTTCAAAAATGAATCTACGAGGAGCAGGGGAACATGCATAACGGTGGGGGGAAGTCTGCTGTGTTTATGCTTTAAGCTTCAAAACCAGAGAGAAGAATCAGGCCACAGCACATTATCTGCAGGTCTTGGAGGCCATCAGTGGTAGTAAATAAACTGTCATTCTTCCTCTACCAGGCTGTGCATATAATTCACATTCTCTTATCTGTAAAATTTCTCTGGTATATTGTATCTTTGTTAGTTCAGAATATTAAGTCTGGCTCTTGAGCTCGTATACTCCATAATGCCCACAGAACATCTTCTGTCTTGAAGAGCTTTGTTATAGTAGCTTAATGTTTCATTAATACTAATTGAACTAATCCAAACTTCCTTCACTGCACAAAGTTCAGATTTAAGTATTTTTTAGTATTGGGAATAGCAATATGCTAGTAAGACTGCTTTCTGTCTTTTACCATGAAACATGTAAACAATCCAAGCTAAAGGGATTTTTCACACAAAAAATATAAACAAGCCAGAATATATCCCATCTCCTCAGAGGTGGAGTATTCTCATATAAGTCCCCAGGAAGCCTCTGTGTAAAGGCAACATTTGACTATGTGATATGTTACTAAACCAAATCCAATTTAAATGTCGTTGACGTGTGAGTGGGAGCTTCTCAGAACTGTATTCTTTCTTCCACTCAAACTTTTCTTCCAGTTTAGATAGCCCATCATCAGAGCAAGACAAGAGAAATTCTATCAGTGCAAGAAATAATTTCAAAAAGGGCAGAAGTTCCCCTAAACTAACTCTGTAATGTGAATCTGGTTATGGCCAAAAGCAAGGAGCTTCCAAAACCAAAAAGGAATGTGTTTAGCAAAAAGTTTATCAAGGTTTTCTCCTTATATTTCCCTGTGAAGGAAATGTAACCTCTTCAGCTATTGAGAATTCAGCCTTTAAATCCATTAACCAGGACACAGCATGCAACACTGAAAAGGTGCATGTGGAGGGAAAGCAGTTCCTTCTGTAGTCTTCTGCTGCCAGTAGTTCTGTTCTAAGAGTATAGGGCCTAAATATTTTCACGTGTACCTCAGAATAGTCTCAAGGCTGGTTTGAATTTCTTCATCCAGCTCTAGGGCCTGTTTTGATTGGAAACCTAACCAGGCAGTTTACATCCTCTGTATGCAGAACATTCTGAGGGAAATTACATCAAGGAATTTGAATGCCACTAAAGGGCCCTTCTTTTTTCCTGGTTCAGGGAGAACTGGCTCTGCAACAGCAAAGAACCATCACAGCAGAGACTGGTTGTTAATACAGAAAGAGGCCTGATAGTTTATGTTAATAGGATCCAAACAGTTGAACATCTGTGTCATATCATAACTGAGAGTAATGTTAGAGCAGGTGTAATGGCAGTTATGAATTCAATCATATGTCTCTTGCTTGATAAGTTACATTAAACTGTGTTAGAAATGTGGGCAGGGCTGTCTCATGGAAACCTCTCATTAACTCATTTTTCTACAGCCAGTTAGGGATCTGTAAGTATATATTCAAAGTGAGTTTGGACACAAGAAATTAGAAATGCCAGTGTTTTTGAAAGTATTACTTTTGATCACGATTGCTTGTATTCCTGACTATTAATACTTTCCCTCCCTATCCTTACTTATTGTAACTATTCGAATGCTTTTTAAGTTTTCCTGATATTCTTTTTTCCCCCATATGATTCAGTGTTCCTGTTCTTTCTCCATCAGAATACAGTAACAGAACAGTTGCAGAAGGGTTATGCTAAGGATCAGATCTACACATATGTTGGGGACATTCTCATTGCTGTCAATCCATTTCGGAACATAGATATTTATTCTTCACAGGTATGAAAATCTAGGTTTGATTATTTTAAACTACCACCGATTTCCACTAAAATATAAATATTTCTGTTATGTATAAAGTAAGGTCATTCTTGATACTTACTTAAGTTCACTCTGAAAAGCAGAATTGCCAATAGAGTTGTTCTTTCAAGTGCATATTGACACACCCTTAATGTGCTGAATTTCAGCACAGAAATGAGAAATATAAAAAAAACCCCTAATTTCTGGTATCTTTATGTCTATAGTGTAGATCATACACCAAACAACCCAATACAATGTCAACTTCTGTGAATTTGTCTCCCCATGATACAAAAGGGGACAGGTATGAAAGTCTGGTCATACAGTAATTTGTCATTATTAATTATCAAGTACTACAGGTATGGAAAAGATCTAAAGTTTTGACAGCAATATCATGCATGAATACTAGGAGGAAGTGAAGCACAAATAAAATTAAATTATAATTTAGTCCTTGATGTCTGGCAATATTAAATGTTCTACTAAATAATTGAGTTTCATAGCATACTCAGGGCTCAAATTATAGAAAATTGCAGTTCATTTTTTTTAGCAGTTCTTATAGTACTAAGTACATACAGATTCATGGTATAGCGAGTGCAGTAGCAGCTCACTCAGAAAATATCACTGCTGGTAACCTTAGCATGCTATACACTAATCTAAAAATAAAACTAAACTCTGATTAAAAGAAAAAAAAAACATTGTTAAGGGACACCAGTAATGTTTTCATTTTTCTTACACTTAGCATTCCAAACTGTACATTGGAGCCAAACGGACTGCCAACCCTCCTCACATTTTTGCTGTTGCTGACATAGGCTATCAGTCCATGGTGACGTACAACTCCGATCAGGTAAAGATGAGGTGTCTTAATTTTATCCTTTGCTAGGCTGAGAGGTGTGAAATGAGCTCAGAGTCTTGCTCTTGTTCTCTGCAGTGTATCGTTATTTCTGGAGAAAGTGGAGCTGGCAAAACGCAAAGTGCCCATCTGCTGGTTCAGCAGCTCACTGTCCTGGGCAAGGTATGTCAGAGGGGATGCCTTTGCTATCTTGTGCCTAAATGACTGAACCTATGGACAGGGCACTGGTTGTGGGGCAAGACTGTCACACATTTTCAAAAGAAAACTGGAACATGATGCTGATCCATCTTTTCCCCCCTCCCTTCTGACGTAGGGTCACTTGAAAATATGTTGGTTTCCACAAGGAAGTACCCACTGCAGTGCAGGCTGTGACTTAGTCAGTTCCCTGTTTTGAGTGTCTTCAAGTCATCCAAACTGTACTAAGTAAACTCCTCTTCCAGCTTTTCACGTCCTTCTACAACCAGATCACTATCAGTGGGACACAGTCATTCTGGGAAGTGGCCACCATAATTGTCCAAATAAAATGCCATTTTTTTGCATGTCCCAGAGAGATGCCAGCAAACTGATGGATTGGTATGGTGTACTGGAACAGTAAGGCGATGCTAAGAAGGATCCTAAAAGCAGATCTCAGAGTGATGAACCACAGAAATTGATCAGTTCTGGTGGTGTTGTTATCATTATGAGTGTTATCTCTTCCAACCAGCCATTACTTCTGAAGATTGCTATATTCTGACAGGTTTCATTACGTATATATATATTTATGTGCCTTTCTTTCCATATAATTCCCATGGGAATGGCTCCCCCGATTACGTCACACTTCACAGTACCAATAAGAAGAGTAAAGGAACACCTTTTGTACCATTTATGAATGTATTTGCATAATTATTGATAATTTGAAGCAATATCTTATTCATATCCAGGCTAATAACAGGACTCTACAGGAGAAGATTCTCCAGGTGAACAACCTTGTAGAAGCATTTGGGAATGCAGGCACTATCATCAATGATAACTCAAGTAGATTTGGAAAATATTTGGAAATGAAATTCACTTGTGGTGGCACTGTAGTTGGAGCTCAGATTTCAGAGTATCTCCTTGAAAAATCCAGAGTTGTCCACCAGGCAGTGTAAGTATAAAAAATGTATTTGACCTAATTAGGGGGTTACAGAGTAGGCCTACAATGCAATAAATCATCTTGGTTCAAAACACAAAGATGAATAAAGTCCCTGTTTCTTTTAATTTTAAGTTACGTATGAATAGCTTATAAATCTGTAAGTTAGCTGAAAACTACTTCTGATTTCACTTTTTTCCATTTTTTTTTATTTCCTGAGTCGTTTAATCAAATATCATAAAAATACATATGTAATATATAAAATATATCAGAATGTGCAAAGAATTAAAAACTTTCTAATAGTTCAGTTCTACATTTCTTTGTGGAATTTTGAAGTATTATGTTGAATGTATCACTTGGATTTAATTCTGCTACGTCTTCTCTAGTACTGTAGTTTATTTCTTTGTTTGCTTGTTTTCTATTTTGGAATATCTTGTAGGGCTTGTTTATAAAGGGTTATGGATCAAAAGTAGAACAGATCCATCTCTGTCATGTGTGTATCTCATAAGAGTCAGAAAAATTTAATTGAATTTCCAATTAAATTTATTGATATGCAGTTTTTGTCCTAATATATAGCATGTCCAAATAACAAATATTTTGGCAAATCTATTTCTGCCATAATAACAATCAGAACAACAGAGTTTGAGACAAGGAGTGTTGTCACTGATTTAAATTTTTCCCCTTGGTGATCACTAATTCATTTTTCACTCTTTTTGTCTTTCTGCATGACCTTGTTTTCTGTTGTAGGTTGGTGAAATGTACAACATCAAAGTATCACTTGGATTGTTTCAATAAACAATTTAAAGTTAGAGGCAATTTTATTAGATGTTGTTTATTTCCTCAGTTGAACATAAGCACAGAAAGTGCTTTTTCAGAATAAATCAGCTTTTTCTTTAAAACACCACGTTTTTTCATAACTTTTAATGGGTCTGTTCTGAGGCTGTCAATTTATATTTATATTTAGTCATATAGTGAGACAGGCAGTTGACAAGGCATTTATGTGCCTCAAGTATTATTTAGGTAGGTGTTTAGGTGTCTGCATTCACAAGAAAATGCCACCAAAGTGTTTAGCATGAGAGCCACTGTAGGAGGTTAAATTTTGAGGAATAAACTTCCAAGGGCAGCTGAAGCTCTTTGTATTGAGCGTGTCGTCTTCACTCAGTTCTCTGTGTGGCTGGTCCATAAAGCTTGTCAGGGCAGAGAACTGGCATTTAGGGACTTCACTGCAAGAAAGTCTTGATCTTCTGAGAGGCCACGACTCCACACATGAAGACCTAGGAATGACTTTTCTTGGAAAACCAGTCAGTCATTACCTGGAAAATGGGAGATCCATGTTCCAGACCCACCTCAAGCCAACAGATTTTGAACCTACAGTTTCCCTTCCCTTTCCAAGAAAATACACAAACCTTCAGTGAGACACAGTGAGATTTCAGAGAGTGTGCAGACCAGTGCTATGCAATCTAAAGGTTAAGATACTGAGGGGAAAGGTAAAAGATCTAATCTGTTCCTACTCCTTAAATGGATCTTGTTTCCTACTACTGGCTCTCCACAGTAAAATATGCAAACTGAGTTGGTACTGGACTCTGATCTAGGTACCCCCTATGCAGAGGACTGCACTGGCTTCCAGTGACTGCACTGGGAATCTCATGAGGTTTAACAAGACCAAGTGCAAGGTGCTGCACCCAGGTACTGATACAGGCTGGGGGATGAACTGATCAAGACCAGCCCTGCTGAGAATGACTTGGGGGTGCTGGTGGAAGAGAGGTAGAACATGAGCCAGCAATGTGCACTTGCAGCCCAAAAAGGCAATCATATCCTGGGCTCCATCAACAGAAGTGTGGCCAGCAGACTGAGGGAGGTTGATCCTGCCCCTCTACTCTGCTTTGGTGAGACCCCACCTTGCAGTGATGCATCCAGCTCTGGGGTCTCCAGTACAGGGAGGACACAGACCTGTTGGAGAAAGACCACAAGAGGACCACCAAGGTGATTAGAGGGATGGAGCACCTCTCCTATAAGGAAAGGCTGAGAGAATAGGGTTTGTTAAGCCTGGAGAAGAGAAGGCTTTGTGTGACCTAATTGTAGCCTTCCAGTACCTAAAGGGAGTCTGCAAGAAAGATGGAGAGAGACTTTTTGCAAGGACGTGCAGTAGGGGCAATGGCTTTAAACTGAGAGTAGGTTTAGATTAGATATTAGAAAGACATTCTTTACTGTGAGGGTGATGAGGCACTGGAACAGGTTGTCCAGAGAAGCTGTGGATGCCCCATCCCTGAAGTGTTCAAGGCCAGGTTGGATGGGGCTTTGAGCACCTGGTCTAGTGGAAGGTGTCCCTGCCCATGCCAGGGAGCTTGGAACTAAATGATCCTTAAGGTCCTTTTCCAAGCCATTCTATGATTTTATGATTTAAGGGTGTTCCTGAGACACACGCCTCAGCTCATGCAGAAAGCAGGGGTTTGAACACAATTCCTTTTTGCCATTCAGTAGTGACTGACTTGGGCATCTCAGGGCTCAGTGATGGCTGCAGATTTTCACCTAAGCATCTTCCTCATAAGGTGCACAGGAAGCTTGAATGTGCAATAAACCTCTGACCTGGGTTTGGGCACCCAGGGCCAAGTCATAAGGCCCTTTGCTGATTGTCTGCTTACATGCTTTCTTAGTTCAGGCTAAAGGACACAGCAAACATACTGGAATTATTGAACAAGGAGTGTATAGCTCTCCTACGGTCAGAAGATGTTTTAAAGTAACTGGAGTTAAGCAGCCCATTTAATGCAGGTGGGTGACAAATGTGCAAGATCTTACAGAGCATCTACCTATTGCATCAAAGGCAGAGGAGCATTTAGCTGCTTGTAGTACCGAGCAGCCACCCTGGCAGTCAGGACAAACACGTAATGGCACAGAAAGGGTGTTCACAGGAACTTCTGTAACAGCTTCTTTCAGAGCCCTTTGTCAGTTTGCATGAGTCTTGCCTGTTATTAAAATAACATTCCATAATCATATGTATGTCATCAGTAAATGTAGCATACTTATATTACTAAACCAGTTTGTTGTTTCTGTTGTTTCAGAGGAGAGAAAAATTTCCATATTTTTTATTATATTTATGCTGGTCTCGCGGAAAAGAAAAAACTGGCACATTATAAACTGCCAGAATATAGACCTCCCAGGTAAAGCAGTTTATTTTTAAATAAATTGATTACTAAAAAATGCACTGTTGAATTCTCAGCCTCATTTGTATTCTAACTCTGTATCCATCAACTCTTTCAGATATCTGCAAAATGATCATTTCAGAATAGTGCAAGATTTCATGAACAATAGCTTTTATAAGTCTCAGTTTGAATTAATTGAACAGTGCTTCAAAGTCATAGGTTTTACACTGGAGGTGAGTGCTGATAACCGTTTTCTTTTGAGAACTTTCATCATCATGGCTAGGCTTTGCAAACAAAGATTTGAGAAGGACCCTACCCATGCTTGCTACAAGCGCGCTGATTTATGAACTTTACCAGCTACCTTAATCAGGAAAAACTTATGTAAAGCATTCAAATAATCTCCCTTGTTATTTTCTTCCTTTAGCAGTATTGTGTTTATGTTGCACAGTCAACTTAACTTTTATATTATACATTTAAATTTTTAAGGTTTTGAGGCATTGATAAACCAATAAAATGGTATTAGTCAATAAGCCTTTGAAATCAGTGAACACAGCACAGCTGAGTAATTAGGGAAAAAAAGATTTTTGCAAGTTAAATGCATAGAAAATGATGTTGTAACTGTTTATCAACCACTAATTCTAGGCCTGTGAATATGAGACTCATCTCTGTTTTAAGAGGAAGTCCATGGAGGGAGTTCTAAAAATTCATTGCATTGATATGAGTATTGATGAACTCAATATATTTTCACAGCCCCAGAAATAAAATTGAATGGAGCTCTTAGGTCTGTTTGGAGTGAATCTCGTCACTAAACATTAACTGAACCCGTTCTTTCTTTATGATCTTATATCATTGTTTTGCTGGCCATTAAATTCCTCTTCTCAGTCTGTTGTTGGTAGAATTAAAATTTAAAAAAGGACTCTGAATTTATAAAGTAGGATGCAAGAGAAGGAAATCCTATCCTGTGCTTTGGTTCTATCTTAGGAGAAGAGGTGCATCACAGCTGTCATTTACTGCTGACTTAGTTTATCATAAACAATAATAGGGGTATGATCAATATAGTATCTGTGACATACAGCACTAGTGCTGCAGAATGGACATATGTTTTAATTTCTCCAACAAAACTGCATGTGGTAAGGATATTTTCACAGAAAATTACTTACTGACCATTTCTGGCTTTTCTCAATGTAAATATTTGAAATAGATAACAAAACAGATTTATCCACCTATGCTATTCCTCCATAATCATTTTGCATTAAGTCACAATAGCAGTGGCATTCACAGTCTCTTTCTCCTCTACATGTTATTCGCAACTGCACTTAGTAATATCACACCTGTACTATCACATTCTTTCACCTTTGCTTTCACCTTTCCAGAAGCAGCCTGAAAGGACATGTATGGTTCAGCACCAATAGCAGTTTTATCGCAGCAGCAGAGACCTCGATAAGTCCTAATTTAAACCATGAAAAGCAGCAAATCTGTTTTTGTTACCAGCTCTTTTGTTCATTTGGATGGATGGAAACAATAATCCTGATCATCCAAAAGAGATCTTCCATACATATTGAAGATCCAGTTAGAACTAGGTCACTGGCAGCATTGTGCAGATCTTCACTTGATTAACTCATCAAACCACCACGAGCTGAATCTCTAAAGGAATTATTTACCAGTAGAATCCCCGTAGTTTCAGAAGCAGGTTGAGTGCTGGAGGCAACCTGCTTTTGGCTGCATGTGAGCCCCATCCATGTTAGCCTGTCTCACATCCTCCACAGGGTGAATTAGCCTGTCTGAAGCTGTGTTTGCAAGAGTGAAGGAACATTCTTCTTCCCTCACTGAGGTTCTCATATCAGATACGTATACATGTGCAAAGACAATTTTTTTTCAGTGAGAAAAAGATCCTCCAAGACAATGAATTCCTTTCCTAATGACATTTGTCCCAGTGCACAGAGGAACTTTCATATAAGCATGTTCAGTGTTATATTAGCAGAAAGCCATGGTCAGAAAAAATTCTCCACTCCAATTAAAACTGAGACCTAAACAAGACTTTTTTTTTTTTTAATTTGAAATTTGATTTTAACTGATTGGCAAATTTTAATAGCAAATACTGTCAGTACTCCCTGTCTTAAAATGAGACTGTTTTATTTCAGGCTGCATAGCAAAATTAATAGAAAAAAGGACTGCCTAAGGGGAACAATAATCATGCTGTATGAGACAGATCAAGACAGATTTCAAGCACACTGGAACAGGGCAGAAAAATGTCAGCAGTTATACGTACTGTACAGCATAATGGCAGAAGTTTAGTTATTCATTCCTTTGCATTTTAACTGTGTTTCTAAGCTTAAAATGAAAATGATTGTTTAATCCTAGGTAAACTGTGTGCCAATTATCCTCAGCATAATTTTTTAGAGTGAGCTTATCTAGTTTGTCTTGCTGTCACTGGAATCATTAATTTAGTAACTGCTAGATTAATTTCTGAAAGTGTTGAAAACAAGATCAAGTATTCTAGAGCAATTAAGGATTTTATCTGTCTAAATGATGCCTGACATGGTACCAGCGAACTATTGAATATTATAGATAAAATGTCGTGCAATTATGAAAAGTTCATTGTTATAAAATAGCAATCACATTTGCCAAACTGCTTCTTATAAAACTACTATAAAAGTTTCTAACCTGCTATTTATAAAACACGCTATACAAAATATACAGTGTCAAAGATTCCTAGTCTGCTTTGCAGGAACCCCTCAGCATTTCTGAATAAAAAATGCTCAGATCATCAGGTATACTGATAAACATTCACAGTTCAGATGAAAATTTGCAATTCAAATCTAAATCAAACCTGCAATGAAAGGGTTATTTTACTAATTCCAAATATAATTTTGTCATATATAAGTTCCTAAAATAATTTATTGTATATATCACTTCACTGTCCAGAGTAATAACAGCCATTTTCAAGGCAGTGTCCCTCTTCAGAACCTACTGAATAATTTGAAATTTAGATACGTGTAAGTAAAGTCCATATTAGGGTGCTTTGGTGAGTTTGTAACTGATGTTTTGAAGGGTAAAGTGCTTCACTGAATCAGAGATGTGAGATCTCAGCCTTCTCTCAGTGAAACTCCTGATGACATTGGTGGGGACAATACAGACCTATTATTTGGAGTACCTTTGTTTCCATGATCCAAGAAACCTAGAAGCAGATTTTTTCTCTATCTTTGTTGATCTAGGTGTTAATTTTTTTAGACACAGTTGTGCCTGCAGACACAGTGAAGGATAGATATAAATAACCTCGGAATTCTTTCTATATAAGAGGATATGTACACAGTGTTTCATGTTTTCCCTACTCCATGTCAATCTTGTCCTGCCAAAAAGTATGGGAAAGAGATTAGGCTATAGTTTGTCTTGCCCTCTTTAGCTGTCTTGAAAACCTTCGCTGAGTACAGAAAAAGAATAATTGCTGAGAAAAGTATTCTTAAAAGTAGTGGGCACGTGGCAGACAAGAAACAGCACACATGGATGTGCCCATCGCACAAACCACAGAGACAAATCTACCTGGCTATTAAGCATTGTATCTTTTTTAATATATTTTTCAGGAACTTGGAAGTGTGTACAGTGTCCTGGCTGCCATTTTAAATGTGGGTAACATTGAATTTTCTGCAGTAGTATCTGAACATATGATTGACAAGAGCAACATTTCCAACCCAGTAGCCCTTGAGAATTGTGAGTGATTTTTTTCTTGATTCTAGATTGTTTTTCTTACTGTTTTGTTGGCAAATTTATTTTATTGCAAGAGAGTTATCAAGGAACCCGTATTTGCGTGGAAATTTTGCAAAAATTATTAAAAGCTGAAGGTCAGTTAATTCTAAGCCCACCTAAATTCAAATGCAAAAAAAGAAAAATATTTCCATGTTATGCATCTTATTTGACTAACCAGTTCACTGGTATACAGGAAACATGACTAATACTGCAGATGCCTGAAAAGAAAATCTTTGGAATTTTTCCAAGGTTATTTGAACATTTGATGGAGAACCTTATTAACACATTGAATGGTTTTTTCCCAGTTTCTTTCTCAGCTGCTCATTACTTGTTCCCCACATGTTCCCCACATGTACTGAAATACAGCTCACTAATTCTTTGGAAGGGATGCCTTACATTATGGGCTGCTGGGAGGTGGAGGAGGCAAAGGGGCAAAGATTGCAAGAAATCTGCTACACTTTCTCAGTTATTATAGTTGGGGAGATAATGAAGTATTCACGCTATCTTCTTACATGTTTTCCTGCCATAGATAGAACAATATTGTGGAACTGGGAAAGAAGCACCCCTTATTTGGAGCAAAAGGAAGACAGCAGTGGCTTGTATGAGTGGATTATTACTTAGAGAGGTATTCACACCTCACAGTTTCAGTACTTCTGATGGAGTCACCTAGATTCCCTAGCATTTCTCCCTAGACTGTTTGGAGAAACAGCCTCCTTGATAAAGGAATTTAGAATCTATTCATTGACGGTAGTAGAAGCTAGGAAGGTTGGTTACTAAATTAGATACTGACACTTGTTTGGTGTGAAATTCCTCATTAATCATAGTTCAAGACTTTGATTTGGTCCCTATTCGTAATACATTGCACTTGCAGCTTTGTTTGCAAAAATGCCTATTTCACCTTCCAAAATCGGCCTTTGAGCTATGTCAGTGACCTTCCTTCCTAGGTGCATCCTTGCTATGTATTCAGGCAGATGAACTGCAAGAGGCCCTCACCTCTCACTGTGTAGTGACTCGAGGAGAGACAATTATTCGTCCCAACACTGTGGAAAAAGCCACTGATGTCAGAGATGCCATGGCCAAAGCACTGTATGGACGCCTCTTTAGCTGGATAGTCAATCGCATCAACACTTTACTCAAACCTGACAAACATTTAAGGTAAAAGAAGTTTTTCCAGAATAAAGAGAATTTTTTTTCTGTGGGAATAATATTGTCTACACTAGAGCATTTAGTATGCTCATGTTGTTTTTCTCTGCTACCTTTTTGTTTATGACACCACCACATCAAAAAATGTTTTGTCCTGTTCCTAGTATATAATGTAAATACAGTAGCTATGGATAGCACAGGCATCCAGTGTTTTACTATTTGACCTTTATATGTTTAACCATTTGTAAATTACATACGAGCTACTTTTTCTTTTGTAATTTTTAGGGTCAACTTTTGACGTTTGTTGATTTTATAGATCAGATTCTGCTCTTATATACAGTGATGCTGTTGCTTTTGTCACTTATTATGAGCATGGTTTCATATATGTGTGAGAATAGCTTTCACATTTACTGAAGTTAAATGTCCACTCTACACTTACAAAGTGACATTTTAAACACAGAGACAAGAAAAATATTGGGAATGAGGATGTAAGACATTTTGCAAATTAATCAAAGAAGAAATTATGTGGTTTCTGTTGTAGATCCTATATGTCAGAGCTCTCTGTAGTGGAAAAGGGGCAAACTTATAACTACCTTAAAACAAACAGCAATAACAAATAGCTTTGGTTTGCAAATCTGGATTTGATGGATTTTTTTTTAAACATCAGAGGTTGCAATCCTAAAATTTGTCTAAACTTTTAAGTATTTGGTTACAGAAGAGCAACAGTAAACGGAACTTTAATCAGTAAGTGAAAGGATGAAATTCATGATAGATAGGGCAGCACTGCCAGCCTGTGTGCCTCTCTCACTTGTCTGTTACAGAGCCCTTTTCAAACTGAATACTTACTATGCCCATGAAGAGGAAGTAAAATTTAACCTGAAATGTTCACTATACAAAAAAAAAAAAAAAAAAAGAAAACAACCAGAACTTTGCTTTGATTTTGTGGTAGTAAAATAATTTGCACCTGCTATTTTTATGTAATTAGCTCTGAGAAGGAATGAGGCAGACAAATTTTAGCAGTTTATTTACAAACATTGTAATTTTGAGATAGATAAAATAGTCACCAAATTCAGGTAAAAAACAACAAATACATTTGTTCCCTCCACAATGAAATGCTTCTTTTTTTGAGATGGACTTCACAAAGAGGTTCAAGTGTATGAAGGGGTGTATTGAAGCTGATTCTTAATTTCTGATTTCCTAAATCTTTATTTAAAAAAATTGGTTACAGATAGCCCCTCAAAGGGATTTTATAGATAATATGTGCTTTATTTTTTACTTTCCTCAGAGAAGACAATAATGTCAGCTTCAGTTTGGTATAAAATTATATCCTCTTAATGTTTTTGCTTCAGCACATAAACATTAGAGCTTTTTTCAAGTTGCAAAAATGATCATGTCTTCAGTATGCCTTAGCTAAAATATCAAACTAAAGTTTTTACTAGTAGTACTTCTCTGGAATTTAATTGATAATTCAAATTCATACCACATTTCAGTACTTAAAGTAGTTATTTAGATGCATAAAAGGTCTAGCTATTGGTTCTTTTGACTTTATTGTTAAAATTAATAATTTTAATTGTTGTGAGTAAATAATTAGAAGAAATATTATTTTGTGACAACAGTCTTTAATTTAATGCTGTTGAGTAAAGCCTGTGTTATTACAAGAGAAACAAAAAGAACTGCATGTTTTTTTCTGTACTTTGGTCAGCTGTTTACAATAGAATAATTACTAGCAAATATTAGTCTAACAATAAAATTGGAACTTCCCTATTTGCCTACCAATTGACTTGGTCATTAAGTGATTCAGTATATTTAGTCTGCAAATACAGTAATCTTTGAATTTATCTGCATTTATTGTATTTCAGAGAAAAAAATTATTGTCATTTTAAGAGGTATCTGGTTTAGCAAAGATTATGCTATGTAACTGGTGCACAGATTAGGCCCATGATTTTCCTTTGTGAAATTATAATTAAGATAGTCAGTGTAAAATAAAGATATAACAATGGAAAGTTTATTTCATCTTTGCAGTGAAAATGATGATGGTTTGAACATTGGAATTCTTGATATCTTCGGCTTTGAGAACTTCAAAAAAAACTCTTTTGAACAACTCTGTATCAACATCGCCAATGAACAAATTCAGTTCTACTTCAATCAGCATGTCTTTGCCTGGGAACAGGTATGTGGGGATTATTTTGATAAAGCTTTAATATTGCTGAACATATAAAACCTCAAGAAACTACGTTGTTCCTTCTCCATAATAGGTTGTAAATTGCAGATTATAACAAATATTTTTTGAGTATGTATTCTGTGAAGCAGTGCTTGCTATTTGCCAGTAAAATGCCTACACAAAATGCATTAAACTCGAAATTTACAGTATCTAAGCAACATAACACAGTGATAATCTGTTTGATGCAAATGCAATGTTGTTTTCTTGAGAAATAATGAGTGTTGTAATGTATGATTCTATAGTAAAAAAAGAAATGACTGGTAACAAAATTTTGAAAGTGTAGTGTTCATAATAGCTTACTAATAAGCTTAATGAACACCGAAATTCCGTTATTAAAAACTGCAAATCTCACAATTATTTTGTTCTTGTTCCGAAACTAGATCATCTCAACTAAATAATGATGGATTTAATCTAAATAATTTAAAACAGAGAGAAAGGAAAAGTGTTGTAAATATAAAAGTTTATGAAACTGAAGAGGAGAGTGAAAAACCTCAAAAAATATCATCTCAGCTTTGTAAATAATTACATGATAATTAAATTAACCATCTTTAAATCATTATTCAGTATTGTTATTTGAAGAAATAGCATTAACAAAAAATATTAAACTTGATGAAAATAGAAATATTCCAGAATTCTGTATGGCAGAACAGTCAAAATTCAAATTGTAGGTGAAATAATACTTTTATTTTTTTACTGGAATTATTGGGGTTTATGATACACAAATAAAAATCCTCCTGAATACTAATTTTAGTTAATAGTAGAAACAGAATATTTTGTCAGTGTTAATCACTGATTGCTTTAAGGATAAAACAGATACAAGTTTGGAATGTGTCTCTGTATGCAAGTGTGTACATGCATGTGCCAGTCTAGAGCTGTACATATCTATGTATAAAATAGAAGGCTTTTTTTATATGGATCAATGCTTTATCCTCTTTCCAATTACTTCAGGAAAGGCTATCTTGCAGTCTTAGACCTTGTAGTTATTTTTATAGATTTATGTGCGAGATTCTCAGACACAAGTATTTTCTTGCTTCTAATACCATCTAAAATTCAGAGAAAATTTAACCTGAACTACTGTAATGACTTAGGTGCCTTCTTTCTGAAGTTCACAAATTCACACAAGCAGGTCGCTTGGCTACTGCTGTTTCTAACAGTTGGAAGATGGAAATAGCACAAACTGCAGCACCCTTATTTATTCCTGTAAATTCAAGCAATGACCAGGTCTCTTGGACTTGCATATGTCCACTTGGCTCAAATGTTCCCTAACTCGATCCTCGCACACTGAGTCTTTCTTCCCTCTGTTGTCAGGGATCTGGGATTATCGGTAAAGACCAATGCAAAGAAGGCATTGAATGTTTCAGCTTTTCCATATCATCCATGCTTGCTCAGCAGCAGGACCACATTCTCCCTAGCTGCCTTTTGCTGCTGATGGACCTGCTTTGGCTTTCCTGTCCCTATCCCTGTACACCAAATATTGTCTTAGTATTCATTCTCTTTTTTAACTAGAGTCAAGTCTTGTTCAGTGTAATCTGCCTTTACTTGTTTCTAAGTATTCTGATGCAGAACATTTTGGCCAGACCTGTATTAATGCAGAGGTTTGTGGTGTCACCATGTAGTAGGAACAGAGCCCTGCTGCAGCAAGGTCAAGGTGGTTATTTTGCTACTGCGCAAGGGATGATAAGATGGGGGAGGGGAAATTAACTTCTTATTTTGACAATATCTAGTTTACCCATTTCTCCCTGTAGGAAATTAGGACAACAATTACTGACCCTATGGAAGGGGAAGCTGATCTTTATTTACAGACTCTCTAAGTACTTCAGCTTTACCCATTTTCAGTCATCTCTCATAGATGTCATTGACTCTCGGCCATATAGAATGCACCACAATGTGTTCAAGTGGTCTGCCAAGGATAATTTGTGAGTGACTCATTGAATAAGGGACACCAGCTGGCAAACCTTCATCATGTCTCTTAGGTTCTTCTTGCTGCAATAGTTTTTGGACAGATCTTTTACAGCCTTTAGCAATTGTCAGTTGTTACAGGGCAGTTCTTTGCCTCAGAACCTTATTTACTTCAGCCACTATAATCTTCAGGCAAGGTCATTATCTGACTTTGCTTTCTTGAAGTATATACATCTTTATGCCTACAGTCCATTTCCTTGTTGGGTTCGTAGGAAAATCATGTATGACGTGCTGTAACCTTGCAGTCATCCTCCTGTTGTGAGATTTAAAGGGTGTTCCACTAACTACCTGTCTGCAGTGTGTTTTTATGTAAGTGAAGGCCTTCTGTTCTTGATGTAAGCAACACCTTCCTCAGTTTTATTACTATGAACAAGCGTTCTGCATTCAAATCACAGGCTGTTCTTCTAAGACTCTTTTTTCTGATGCTTATACACACATTTCCATTCATATTTCATTTTTACCAGTTCTAATGTTTATATTGCAAATGTCCACATCTGAACCATAATACCAACCAAGTGCACGTCTACTTTAATTTACATCATGCCACTACAGATTATATCAAACTTCATTACATTATCTTGTAACAGTCTCCAAAGATACTAGTACAGCAGTGCAGAATGAGCTGTATAGATTAGGTTTGTGCAGATGTGGGTGTAAATCCCTCCCTTTCAAAGACAGGAAATGAGAAATTATTTTGTGTTACAACCCAATGGCACAGATTGATTTGCAGTATAGTCATTATAAGACATTGCGTTTCACTTACTTATGACATGGTTGTTCCAGTTTTACATCACAGAAACAGCCTTCAAAAAAGTAGGTGGCTTCAGAATCTTTTCTGTTGACTGCAAGGACTCTCCTGTGTTAACACCAGTAATATACTTTAATTGTAAATACAAGCCTACCCCTCCCTGCACACAAATAAGAAAAAGCAATTTGAAAGAAAATATAATTGCTAAATGTTCTATACAGGGAGAAAAAAAAGGAAACATTTTCAAAATCACATAACTGAATTTGTTCTTTTTTATGATACAGTGTATCACTTATGTAAAAGCCAAACATTTGGATGGCCCCGGCAGTTTGCTGATGTATCTGCCTGACTTTACAAATTACTTTACATGCAAGGGTTTGTGTCTCCATCACTAAAAGACACTAGTTAAGTTTACAGGAAGGCTGATGCCAGCAGCCACCAAGGCCTTTGTGTTGACTTTTCATTAGCCCAAGCTGATGGTTTTACTGATGTAGCAATCCTGTCGCTGGGAACCCAGGATAGTGTCTCTTCACAGCCCTGTGCAAGGCCAGACAGACATGTCAGATTGTTCTGTGCTACCTCAAAAATCTGTAACATGACACTGCATTGCAGCCTGTAGATCCACTCAGGGAAGACTAAAAATTTAAATTATTTCATACTTCCCTCAAGAGAAGTAAAATGGATAGGTACATTGTTTCTTCCTTCTTTTCCCTGTTTTGCCTTTTTCAATTCCTTATCACATCCAATTAGAGGAAATCTGACATATCTAGTGGGAAGTTGAAGCCTAAATCAGTTAAATATAGTTTAGTTCATAGTTAACCCATGTCGACCTAATAAGTAGTGATTATGTCACAGCAGAAGGTGAAGAAGTTTGGGCAACTTGAGCAAGTTAACCTTATAGGGTTGAACTTTGTTTTCAGTTTTGCAGGTGATAATAACCTATTGTTAGTGGTTTCATTTCTGTATCTGACTCTGAAAAGTGTTCACAGTTTTGCTTTCCATGGAAGTGTGGCCTGAGAAAATACAGCCTCAGTAGTGACAGGAATTGTAGGAATGAACAATGGTACTGTCACAACCTGAGGCTCAGGGTGTCTGCTAGCGCAGAGTGTCTGTGAAGTCAAATGAAGGGAATTTATTCTTTATTGTTGACTTAATGTTTGCATTTAAGAATAAAGGCTTTTAGGCCTGAGTGCAATCTTCTTTCCCTAATTTAACAGAAAGACTGAGGTGGGCAATATAGTTTAAGAAAAGATAGTGTAGATTCCCAATAGTCAATGGAGACAAATAGATATATCACTGTTTCTACTCACTGAGGAGAGAATGTGGGCTCTCAACTTAGTTGCTACTTTAATATGTCCACCAGTCTCGCTGGCACAAGCTTTTTTTTGGTTAATATTAAGCAAAGCAGAACTTTTGGACCTTCAGTGCCATTCTTTGAGATGTTTCCCTTATGTATTAGATACTGATGCTAGTAAATTTTTGTCAGTTCCATGATCTGCAGGTCACATTGTCCAGCAAGACAGCCTTCCCTTTTTGTTCTCATTTGTGATTCCTCCATAAAAAGTAAAAGGTGTAACAGCGATAGCTAAAACATTGTGGAAAGTGGCAGGTTTGCTGTCAGTTGGAAGGATGATTCTTTTTGCATTAAATGTATGTAGTGTTTATTTTACTTTCTTATGACAATTTAATCTTCTGCTTTAAGCTGGAAAAGGTTCATTCTGAGTAAATCTCTGGTGTTCCCATTTAAACCAAAGTGTCATCGTAACATGTTCTCAGAAAAATGCCATTATATTATTAAACATTAAGACCATTTCCTAATGCATTTAATAATTCATTGTTATTAAGTGAAATCAGGTTGCACAAGCTAATGTTAGCTAGTTTTGATCACAGAAAAAATGCCATGCAATACTCAGATGAGATGGGAGCCCAATTAATAGTGTAACTCAGTTATTCCATTTGACCTCCCATCCACAGGAATACTTTCTAATGGATTATACTTCAGAATTTCAATCAGCAGCTATTTTACAGAGCTTTCTTGTCACAAAACATCATGGGGTATTATAAAATCCTGTAGCTGATTCATCTTATTAATTCAAATAAGATCTATTTCATTACAGTTTTATGATGTGCATCATCAAGGCTTTTATACTTTCTACTTCTATCCTAATAACATGGTTGAAACCAGCATTGCATTAAAAAATGTATTACAGTATCATTTCTGAGTCATCTGTCACACTGGTGCCTGGGAGACTGGGTTATCAGCCCTCCTCCAGGAGCCCATGGAAAGTGATGGAGTGAACTCCCTCCGTATCCTACTGGGCAGATGGCAGCATTGCCAGAACTGTCAGCGCTGGCTGACACTCGTTCAGTTGTCGAGGTGCACACAAAAAAGTCTGAATGGTCACATATGCAGCAGGCTTGGAGGTCAGGCCCTGCGTGCTGGCCAGGCAGTCATGGGAGCAGATGTTGCTGTTACAGCATAGTTTAGTACAGCTACTACAGAGCTCCTTTCTTTTTCAAGGAGAACACTTTTATCAGTTCTTTAAACCAGCCTCTCTCACAAGCATTTGACGTTAGAAAAAGTTAATCATTAGACAAGTTGGTTGTGAGAGCTTATTGGACGATGTTCTCTTCTGATAGATTCACCCCGAGCAAATTCCACTGATAAGTGTAGTCTTGATAATGCTAAGCAGCAGCAGTTGGTTCCATGAATTTAACATCTGTGTGTCAGTACAGCTGTAGCCCTTGGTTAAGCTGCTCCTACCCCGGTGTTATCTTTAGGAGATAACACAGACTCATTCCCTTTCTGCCACCAGCTCCTACAGGTATATAATTAACTTTTTGCCTCTATCAGTGATATATTTATTACTCTTCTGTTGTGTCTTGCTACTCAGGTCATTGATTAAAATAAAAAGCAAAACTCTACCTGTCCACTGCTTCAGGGCAGACATGAATGAAGTTAATGTTACATGTCTCAGATGAGGAGCCCTCATTGGGCTGTAGGAGAGATTTTTACTGATTACACCCTTGTACAGCATAAAAACTGAGCCATAACCTATCCTTAGAGTGAAGAGTGTCCTGGGAAATTAGATCTATCTAGATACTGGAAGGGTTTAGGTATATATTTCATGTCGTCTTTCAAATGGATCAGCAGATTTGTTTATTTGTGCCTGTATGTCCAGAACAGTGTTATTATTTTATCCCTTCTGCTGTTTCTCTCTAGCTTAGAGATTAAGAGGTATGAAATCTAATAACATGTGCTTTTCTGTTGTATATGGTAGTTAACTTCTTTTTCGAATGCTCAATGTATTGCCTTCTTCACTCATTCAAACTCGAGTGAATGACACATAAGGAGAGGTCTTTCAGGGTCAGAGGTCTTTGAACTCATTAATATTAACCATCATTCATGTTTATGACACTCTTTTCACAATGAATTCAGGATAGCAAACCTGTGATGTTAACACCATACATGAAAACAACACCTTTATGAAGTCCTATCCTTTGGCAGAGGGATGATTTTTAAAGTAGATCGAAAGGCTTAGCTGTGTTTCACAGTACAGCCTGCACAGGACTGATGGCAGATCTACTACAAACAGGAGCACCGTGCAAGTGGATAACTGCAATTTCTTATGTAATGCAGGCAAACATAGTGGAGGTGTGGCAGGCCCTAGAGCATCCTTCTCTTGGTAAATCTATGCCTGTCCTCTGCCTTGCTAAAAGATTAAGGAAGGTCATTCTTGTATTCTTCAGTTATAATCTAAATTATATTCAAGATAAAACTATCACAACACACTGTGGACACAACACTTGTTATCCTTTTCTTTTCAGTCTGGTGGGAATCCAAAGATATTTGCAGTCTTCAGGAGAAAACCAACCAGACAAAACCAACCTAACAAACAAAAAACCCTGCCCCACCAGCTTTTCTGTTGTTTTCAAATCTTGGGGATTACCTTTCCCTAGTTCCTTAAAAGGAGTGAAAATGAGGTAGAGGCAAATCTGAGCCAATTTATTTAATTTTAGAACGTATGTATACAATTCTTCAATTATTAGAAAGTATGTGCACCTTCTCCTCTTCTTTCCATTTTGAGGAGAGTGATCAAACAAGTAAGGCTGTTGTAATCTGTGGTCACTTTCGTAAATCTTGGCTACTGCGCATCACATAGATGTGAGCAATGAATTGGGAATGTAAATCAAGCTCTAAATAGTTAAGAAATATTTTCTACATTGCAGACCAGGGAAGTAACTAGACCCTGAGGTCTCCATCTGCAAACACTATATCTTCTTCAACTCTGTTTTTTTAATTTTTGCTATTCCTGGAAAGTATCTTTCTTTACCAAATATGCCCCGGAAATATTGAACTTACATATTCAAAAGCAAATATCTCAACTTTGCAGAAATTTGTTTCTGCAAAACCTTGATGTCTTTAGTCCCGAGGCATAATTTTTTAATGTAGTTTTAATTTCCTACAATTAACAGTTTGTGAATTATGTCCTGAAGTGGTTCTGTATACACAGACAAAACATGCCTTCTGTTGCTTGCTACAGAATGAATACCTTTATGAAGGTGTGGATGCAAGGGTTATAGAATATGAGGACAACAGGCCCCTTTTAGATATGTTCCTGCAGAAACCAATGGGTTTATTGTCTCTGCTGGATGAGGAAAGTCGATTCCCACAAGCGACAGATCAGACACTTGTAGGTGAGTATATGATTTATTTCACAGTCTTGCCTCGTGTTTTCTGTTAGATTTCTGTTTGACATGGACAGTTTAAACTACATACTAGTTATGTTCTGGTGAGCCTCCATTCCAGTGTCATAGTATGTTTGAGGGAGACCTGCATGTAGGGATGGTTGTGTCCTTGAAGTTCATAAAGAAACATTAAGATTACAAATGAACCTAAGTTGCTGATCCAGGTTTCAAATTCTCCTGCCTTCAGGATTTTTTAGCTGTAGGGTTTGAAAGGTAAAGATCAGACTGAGTTAAAACTCTAGGTTCATATGCCAAGTACACTGTTTGCAAACTGAGTCATCAAAAATCTCTGAGATTTTTGATGAGCCATATCTGAACTTTTTTAAGAGTAACGGCTGTAAACATGCTTCGGTGCCTTTCAGCCAGTTATACTTCCTGGTTTTTTTTCTATTCAGAAATTAAAATTAAAACACCTAAATGTGATGTAATTCAGATCCTGAATATTTTAGTTCTGCTGAGTAGTTGCGTTTCCCGTTGATTTAGTTTAGTCATATTTCTGTGCAGATAAATCCTTGTTTCGCATGTGCAAAGTGTCCTATTAAAATTTTATCCAACACCCAGGCACAAAACCTAATAAATCCAGTAACAATGCCCATGCCAAGAGCTTGTTGTCTTTCTATCCTCATACTTTTTAGTCTAGAGTACAGAGGCCCTCAATCAATCAGTAAGTGCTTTCTCATAATTCCTCAAGGGATCTTTAGGAAGGATTACTACATTGTTTCATATATGAAGATCTAAACCTTGGAAAGGCAAGTGTTGGAAGTGTTCAAAAAACACGTGGATGTGTCACCTGGAAACATGGTTTAGTGGTGAACACAGTGGTGTTGGGTTAATGGTTGGACTCAATGATCTTAGAGGTCTTTTCCCACCTTAATGATTCTATGATTTTCTGAGGTCACACAGAAAAAAATTGGTATGAAGTAAATAACTTGTCCAAGAGCTTCCATATTCTCTATCCAGTGCCTTTTGTTACAAGACCATGATGTCCTTGAAAAAATCAGTTTCTGTTTTGTGCCTCTGCATTGCCAGAGAAGTAAGGTAATATACTTAGAGGGATACAGCTTCAGAAGAAAAGTATTGTACAGTAACTCCAGTAAGATGAGCTATGTGTTTCCTTTCAGAAAAATTTGAGGATAATTTGAAGTCAAAATATTTTTGGAGACCCAAAAGAGTAGATCTAACCTTTGGAATTTATCATTATGCAGGAAAGGTAAGTGACCTGATGATAGTAGTTGGGGATTGTTGAGTGGTAGAGCTGGAAGAAAATAGAAGAGGTCAGCTGGATTGGTTCTCAGCTGTCATCTCTTCAGGCCTGACATGGGAATGTTGGTGGTGCCTTACATGTCAAAAGTAAACTGAAAAGTTATTATCCCTCATAAAAAAGAAAACAAGCAATATCAGGAATGTATTTTTCTTAAATGTCACCAGGTAAATAAACTGGCTGTAGTATAGAAGATCCAAAACACAACTGTTACGCAATGCAACTTAGTGCTCTTCCTCTTAGTTCCTCAAAGCCCTGTGCCATGCTTGTTCCCACTGCTTCTAATCAGGATACCACTCTTTTCTTCTACTTCCTCCTACACCCCATGAGCCTTACTGAGTTCTGTACTACTGTCATTGCCCAGATTTATCCTACTGATAAATCCATGCTGGCTAAAGCTACTGTTAACGTATGTGCATTAGGGAAAATAAATGTCTCAAGCTACTTTGAAATGATGGATTCGCTTTTAGTGATCTGCATCATTTCTCAGTATTGAAAAGTTAAAACTTTCAGTGATCAAAAAAAAAGACTGCAAGCAAGAGTGAGCCCGATAGCTGAAAAACTATCTGTGTATCTTCTTCATATATTAAAAGCCATATGCCAGAATGCTTAAATTTACGATTGCTTTTCAAAAACCAAGAAGATACATAAATGCACTTTTTAAACAGGTTCTATATAATGCAAGTGGATTCCTAGCCAAAAACAGAGACACTCTGCCAGCTGATATTGTACTGCTACTGCGATCATCTGAAAACAACCTGACACGACAGTTGGTAACCCATCCTCTTACAAAAACAGGTATTGCTATTGTGGTAATCTTCGTAGTCTTCTCTAGCCTTCATGATGAACACTGCTAGGTTTCATATGACTACTCACTGATGACATTACACACTTTGTGGCTTAACTTTCCAACCCTAGAATCTATACAGAATGGAGCCCCAGCCATCTCAAACTGCAGGGGAGGGATTGGTCTGGTCAAGTGCCAAGGAAATGGTAGAGACTTCTTTCAGGGTCCTCTCTTCAGGGTAGGGGAGCAATACAGGGAGTGGAGTGCATCTCTTGAGTTGAGGACTGAACAGAAGAGATCAGGTAAGTCACTGGCCTTTTTTTGGGCATGGCATATATAAATTGCCTGTTTTATCTCAGTGCAATTTATCCCTAAAATACTCGAGAATGAAGGTTGGGGCTCTTAACATCTGCTGCAAAGAGTGAGGACACACTTCTCAATTTACTCAGTCTTTTAGTCCCTTACAATAGGTGACTGATGAGGTCCTAGTAGTAAGCCTTTCTCAAAGAGTTCATAAGTTGAGGTGGAGGAATAAGATTGGCTCTACAGAAATTATTCCTAAGTTGCATCTTAGTTGAACTATGTCCTTGCAAAGTGTCCTACCTCCATTTTAGGGTGATGGGTAAGTCTCCTTACAACCAGGTTCTTATTGTGTTGTAGTATTCCCTGTGTGATGGCATTGATGCCATACAGTAAGTACTTTACAACTTAACTTCCTTGTACAACTACATGGGAGACGTATTTCTAGCGGATCAGAAAAGCTAAATTTGAAGAGTCTAATGGAAATTTCCCTAAAATGTTATCGTAGCTTACAGAAACTAAGGTTTTGGCAAGGCTTCTATTCTTCACAAAGAGAGCTTTTGCTCATGGAATGCAAAATTTGGTCTTGAAGTTCTATTTTAAGTGAGTGTTCCTGGGAAAGCACAGAGCTCAGTGTCCTTGCCTGAACTTTTTGACTTGTGGATATCTGCTAAGATACTAATAATTTCTGTAGAGTCAAAGTAAGGGTCTACATGGTCCCAAGAACTGACCTCAAGTCTTAATGTTTTGCATGATAATTCTGGAAGCTGTTTTAGTCTTCTTGTTAAATATTGCAAAACCATCCATCTGTAGCCAACCAAAAGTTAGATTTCTGATCTGTTATTCATCTAAAATCAGTGAAATTGTAGAGGTTTACCCAGAGTTCAGCCCATCTTGCCTATCTCAGGTGTTTCTCTTAGAGCAGGAAAAATACTGAATAGAGCAGGGATTCCTGTAAACACCTCACTTTTCCTTCCCACCCTGTGATATTCAGCTGAACCCAAAGGAGGCTTAGCTCTTGATATCTTCACATAACATGTGATGCATTAGCTCACCATGCCATATATTTGCAGCTGTTATTCCAGCTCTTACCCACATTTTACTGATAGCAGCTGAGCACAGAGAGATATAGGCTCTCCCAGTGGAGAGTGAGATCCCAGAGGTGTTTTGCTGTTAGCAGAAGCAGTGGCAGTGTGCAGCACTGGTTAAGGTTTATCAACACAGAGAGATATGATGGAAAGCTCAGCAGAATTTTCATTATTCCTTTAGAAGACAAGTGTCAGTGTAAACCACGCCAGTGCACCTAGTCCTTCAAAGTCATCATGAAGGTATTGCTTGATTAAGTATTTCAAGGTTAGAGTCTTAAGACTATGTCTGTGCTAGCAAACCAAACAGAGCCAGTGAACAGTAGCTGAAACATTCCCAAAGGACTGCCCATTCTGATGAATGGGACAGGTTTGGATCATCTCAGCTACTTGCCTCTCAGGGATACCTAGGCACACAGCAAGAGAAAGTACACACCAGCAATGGTTTCCAGCAAGCTCTGTGGAAGTAAGGTGTTTAGCTGTTTGAGTCATGCCATGTCACTTGCCCTCAGGTCCAGAGAAGGGTGCTAGCACTTTATTTTTTTTAACTAATATATATGTAGCATTAGAACTATAGTAGTACAATAACGTTCTTTGAGTAAAACCACATGGATACTCTAAGAGGTATCGTTCTTACCTTCTGCAGCAGTCTGGGGGTTTTTTATGATCTAGTAGATGGCATATGAGCTGAAGGAGAAAAATCATCCCTTTTCATCTTCATGCAGCTTCTTCAAAGCTTGTTCCAAGGGTGAAAGGGGAAACAAGGACATACCCTGAAAAACTGAACAACCTTTCTAATCATATGGTTACAATGGAGACATGAATAAGATGGTGCAGCATCAGTTTTAGTTTAGATGAGATGTAAACATTTGCTAGGTTGCTTTTTTCCATTTTCCCATAGGTAACCTGGCACACACTAAAAGCAAAACTACAATCAGTTACCAAATGTGGACCTCCCAGAAAACAATAAGTCATACAAAGGTAAGAAAACCAATTTTGTGATTCTGCATTGAACATTAATTTAAACTAGAAAGGCAATACTGGTTTTCGTATTAAAACCTTAAAACCTTCCTTGGTTTTTCTCCCTCTCCTATTTTCTTTTCTGTTTAGCTGGATATCTTTGTGTTGTGCAATTCATATTCCTTCCGTGAGGTAAAAACCTAACATTTCCCTTCTTTCTGGCTATAGTTTTATAAAAACTTCAGGGGAAAAAAACACCATTATTTCCTAGCTGTACTGTAGCAAAAAGAGAAATTAAAATATTGGTGTGGAGTATAGCCATGTTCCATAGGGAACTACCAAAATAACAGTGATGATGGAATACCTAAAAGGACCTCAGACATTGTCAGGTTATTTGTGGCAGTTATTAGATGCTCTGTTACCAAATTGTGCCCTCTGTGTGTGAACGTTCGTGTATTGTGTTACCAAAGTAATGTAAAGTGCTGGTGTAATTGATTTGTGCTGTGATCATGCTGTAACTTTTGCCGCTTAGAAAATTTTTTTAATTATTTATGTTCTCTGACGGATGTCTTCTTGTGGCCTTAGAAGGGTGCTACAGGCTCACTAGAGCTAAAAAGTGTAATTTCTTTCTTCATCTCTATAGAATGAAGCAGGAGATACTGGACATCATCCTAGAGAGACAACCAGCATGAAGACACAGACAGTTGCTTCTTATTTTAGAGTAAGATATCAAATCTTTTAATATAGATTTCTAGAGTGCAATAAATATTTATCCTTTCACCTTTTGAAATGCACCAGTTTACTTAGAGTCAACAGTGATCCATTTAGAGTTTGTGAACTGCATATATGATGCAGTGGTTTGTGCAGCATAAATATCTAGAGAAGATTGTGATGTTTCATCTTTAGTTATACTTGATTACACAGCCACATGGCTGTCATGATGATGTATGATGATCAATATTAATCTTCACTTGCTTGTTTTTCTACCAAGGAGATAAAGGGAGGTTGAACATTAATGGTATTGCATTTCTTTAGGAGTTTAGGAAAAAGGGCAAAGTTAATTGGAAGCAGGAGCTCCAGAGAATGTTCTTGATGGTCACTGCTCAGAGGCTGTCGTGAGTCAATCCTTGTGGCTCCTTCAGCAGCTCTCTGGACCGTCCCAGACGCTGGCTGTGATGCTGGTCTTGCAATAGAAAGTAGCTGTGAAGAGCATTCTTTCCTCCAAATTGGTGCACACAGTTGGTTCACTTGAGTTCAGCTCTGAATTTCTAACTCTTATTTAGTCATCTGTCTCAGCAAACCATAAAGCGGCTCAGGTGATATTCATAATGAATTGGATGCAGGACTCAGAGAAATACTAAGTTTGCCAGCAACGCTAAACTGGGAAGAGCTGTCAAGCCTTTTGAGGGCAGAGAGGCCCTGCAAAGAGACCTCAGCAAATTAGAGAGATGGGCAGTTACCAACAATATGAAGTTTAACAAGGGCAAGTGCCGGATTCTTCACCTTTAAGTGGGCAACCCTGGTTGTGTGTATAGACTGGGAAACAAGCAGCTGGAGAGCCATGCTACAGAAAGGGACCTAAGGGTTCTGGTCGATGGCAAGTTCAATAGGAATCAGCAGTGCCCTGGCAGCCAGGAGGGCCAACTGTGTCTGGGGGGCATCAGGCAAAGCATCGCCTAGGTATCATGGCAGTCCAAAGCTGCAAGGTGTTCTAAAGTTCTAGATGGGAAAAATACTGAATCTCATTCAAACCCAATGTCTGTGATTCAGTGCATTATCAGCACATTGAGCATCATAGCCTGCAAATGAGTTAATTATATTTACACTTTTCTGGTACTATTTTCTGTAGTGAAAATCCTTGCTCAGATCGTGCTAGCTAATGCTCTTAAATGAAGATTCAGCTTCAGCCCCACTGGTTTACTCACACACAGAAATCTATGGTGATTGAGAAAAGCATATGCCACCTCAGACTGCGTGGGAAAAAAATTATCCATTAGCGTGTCCTACTTGTTTGTGTTCAATTGGCACACTAGTGATGGAGCTAATTAAGCACTTTGCTGCATGATGCAGCTTCTGTCCAGAATGGAATTGCACATTTTAATAGGAAACATATGGCTCTTGACGTCCTACACTGGTTTCATGTATCCAACCTACTGCTGAACAGCATTACCTCCTGGCTACTTCTTTCTGTTGAGTCAGGTTGAATCTTGAGGACTGAGTCTATTCATTTGTGTTTTAATAAGATCCTCCCACGAAGCAATTTTGCACAACACCAGTCAAGGTTGTTTACAGCCAGATTCCCCTCAGTTGGCATGGGAAGCTACAAGCTGCATCTCCTCTGCTAGCCCGGTACCCTGGTGAGGTGGGAAAAATGCAATTTTGTGATTTGTAAATAAAATGCAAAATTGTGATTTTGTGTGCTTTCAGTTTTGCCCTCCTCGAAAGTTTCCTCTTAGCAGGGCAGCTATAGCATCATCATCAGTCTATACAATGAACAGGATGGGCCAAGATCAGAGCAGTTTAAGCAGCCCTTCTTCTGGAGTGCCCTTATTTTCCTCCAGTCTAATGAAGGGATTTAAATTTTTACTGGCTTGCTGCTATTCCACTTCCCATCCATAATATGGATGATTTACATCCTGGGTGAAGAAGGGTCCTCAAATAGGTGACAACAAGAAAAAGAAGAAATGGGCTGTAATTACCTAAGAAAGCTCTAAGATAAGCAAATAAGTGTAAGGAGAGTTTCCATCATATGTTGGACATTATGGAAGTTTGTAAGAATATCCTGAGTGAAATTTGGTACATTTATTTGGAATCAGCGTTTCTCTCAAGTAGTAACTTAGAGGTCTTACCAAAGCTAGAATTATTGTTGTGTAATTTAGTTCATGTACTCTTCAAGTACCAGCTTAGTGAAATATAAATGGACATGATTCTGATCGTATGAAATAAAATTTCAACCGCACATGGACCTATATGCAAGGTCTATAAATATCCTAGTGGCAGATCTTCTGTTATTTTTTTGCAGTATTCTCTGATGGATTTGTTATCCAAAATGGTTGTTGGACAGCCTCATTTTGTCAGGTGCATCAAGCCAAACAACGACCGGCAGGCAAACAAGTTTGACAAAGAAAAAGTGTTGGTTCAGCTGCGTTACACGGGAATTCTGGAGACAGCAAGAATTCGAAGACAGGGTTATTCACACCGTATACTCTTTGCTAACTTCATAAAAAGGTAACATTGATGTGAAGAAGCTCTTTTCTCTCCTGCCATTGCTGTCTAGTAATTTTTAAGCATTAGAAGTGTTTTTTGCATGATCTTTTAAGAAAAAATACAAAGGCATTTCCTGTGACAAAGAAGATTATAGTCTGGATGACAAAGACTAGTTCAGGCACAAGATTAGTGACCTGTTTTGGATGTGTAGGGCAAGATGATGCATCTCAGGATGATTTTTCAGTCTCCCTGTGCATTTCAGTAAAGTTTTACTTGCTTATAATCTGCACATTTTTTTCAAATACTTGACGTTTAGAAGTGTAATACTTCAAATTAAAGCCAAAAATTTGGAGCCACAGCATCCAAAGAACACCACAATTTCTCTAGCTCCTGGCCTTCAGCACTGTGCAGCATCTGCTTTTGCAGGGTAGATGATAACTTGGTATTGCTAGTCTAGGGCTGAAAATTTCATTAAGTGCATAGTTCTGTTTAAAATATAGTTCCTACATGTTTTTTTAGTCATTTGTTAAGAAGAAGAGTAATGAACTCTGTATGATTTTAAAATTCCTTTAACTATCTCTTCCTCTGCCCCAAAAATCTGCACTTCTCTATTACAAGTATAGACCCTGAGAGATGTGTGGAATGGGAAGAATCAAGCAATACCCATTCAGACAGAAGCACTTAAAACTAATAGTACACTAGAAACAGAGAGCTAGTAGCAGAGTGCTGCAGGTGCATGAGAGGAGAGGGGAACAACAAAGGGATGTTTTTATAGCACTGTTTCTGGAGAGAATAATCCTGGGACTGTTGCTGTTTTGGAAGAGTGCAGCATGGGAAAAGATAGTTCTCACCACACCAAGATCTGCTATAGCTTTTGGTGACTGCTCTTTATAAAAAAAAACCAAACTTTACTGTTTAGGTAAAAAAGAGAGGAAAGCAGCAAACACAATGGGGTAGCTCTCCGGAGAGCATGCCCCTGAGTGCAGTGAGGCTGTGCAGATCTCTGGCACTGAGGACATGGCCTTCAGACAAAAAGGGATTTTTATTAAGTATTTGTCTTCTTGTTTTGGGCTTGTTTTTTTTAATGGTTGAGAGTTACAGGTAGACCTGAGATAATAGTGACATTATTTTGTTAGAATAAAAATAAGCCAATTTATTGTGTTTTACAAAAAAAAAAAAAATTTATTATTCCATGAATATTTTATTATTCCATGAACAAACTGTTACCATTATTTAAAGCTGATAAACCCAAGGTTTATTTATAAAGGCTGAATAAAAAGAAAAAAACCCAGAATGTACTGTCAGAATACACACATAATTCATGTAATTTTCTTGAATTAAAAAAAAAAAAACAGAATAGGTATGGTTAATTTTGTGATGGAGCATTTTGGAAAGTCTTGGAACAAACAAGAACTTTCCTACACAGCAGCTGAGCTGACATGTTACAGGTGATTTTTATGCATGAGCATCGTGACCTCTTTTCCTAATCAGAATTAATTCTGAGTAATGAGTCTGGCAGATTGAATGCTTACAGATAACAGCAGTTTTGGAAATAACATTTGTTATTTGGACATAAAAGGCATGGAACGTAACAGTTCCAAAAGGATCTGCCAAGCTGAATCCAAGGAGGTAACAAGAGCTGGGATACATCTCATATCAAGTTAACTATCTCAAAGGTAGATGGTCTAGCATATGACATAAGATATGAAATTTTCATCATATTTCTAAATATGAAATAATATAATTTAGGCAGAAAAGCTTTTAAAATATATCTATTTTGCCACTGAAATCACCTTCATGGAATGCAGAGAGCAGGAAAGTACTGGTGCAGTACTGTACTTGGGTTGCACACTTTTTGAAACCTTCTGGTGTTGATATAGAATTAAACAGCCCTCCAGGGCATGCAATATGTCACTCATCCACTTTGGATTGAGTTTCTCAGTACTGCATATAAATCACAGCAATTTCTTTCCTATGTTGTTTTAGTTTTTTCAGTGCTATGTTTTCTTTCGTGCAGCTGTTTTTATTATTTAAATGTATTTGCATATATTGCTCTTTATTATACAAATAAAGAATCATGCATTTGTCTTTAGGTATTACCTCATCTGTTATAAAACAAATGACGATCCTCCAGTCAGCCCGGAAACCTGTGCTGCCATCCTGGAAAAAGCCCGCCTTGACAACTGGGTTCTTGGAAAAACTAAAGTAATTTTTTAATATACTGTATCAGCATCATTGCAGTATGCCATTGTTAACTTATTAAGCAATTTGTTTTCTCACTCATCTGGTTGGAGTAGCTCTAGGTCTCTATTAGTTTTAAAAAACAAACTCCCTTTGCTGGGTATTGTTCCCTGATACCTGGCTGAAATCTTCAACCTGTAAAGGGTTAAAATTCTCACCAGCTTTAGTGAGGCCACAGTGCAAAACAGCATGTGACAACAACACTGCTTGCATTTTCTTTCAAAAAATGTTTTAGTATGGATCCCAGTAAGCTTAGTCCAAGCTTCTTTTCTTAAGTCAAAGAAGTTATACTTCCCTGCAGCAAACAGGTTTTCCTGACTTTCCAGGCTTTCCTTGGCTTTCCAGTTCGAGGCTGCTGTGGCAGACTTTGCTGAGCACTATGAGAAGAGACAGCAGGATGATCCCATTTATGTCAAGTGGAAGGAAAACTTTATTTTGAGAGAAACCCACATCTGTTCCCATACACTTGGTTTTGGTTCTAGCTCACTAATCTTCCCAGTGTGCCAGAGAGGGACACCCACCCACTCCCAATGACAGATCTCAGGAGATCTAACAGAGAAATAGAAGCATCAGACAAGTACTGCATCAAGTCTCTTTATTTGCTACTGTAACAGAAGTGCTAGGAAGGATATTAATAGGGAGATGGATCCCAAACTGTTTGAAATCCTCATAATGAAGAAGAAACAACTGTTTTTCTGAGACATCTTCCTGGATACATGGGGCAGAAGCCATGAAGTTGCCTCCCCCTCAGCCTTTATTTCCCTCTGCTGTCTTAGTGAGGTTAATGGACAACATGCAGTCAAAAGAATCATATCTTGGGATGTGAGATCTATAGCTTATGTTTACTTTAATTAGGGTTAACCCATATCTGTACCAACAAATGGTCATGATTGAGGGAATTTTGCAAAATAAACATAATTATTGTCTTAACTGAACAAGTCTTTCTACACATTTTATTTTATCCTAATATAAACCAGGAATGTGTTGGTATCCCTTGTGCTAGACTAGTTTTTCAGGGCTTATATGAATGTCATGCTTGATAAAAGCGATTTAGTAAATAAACAAGGCTTTAGATTTAAAATTGGAAAGTGGACAAATTGAAGGTTCCAGGTTTGGATCATATTTATGTAACATATATTGGATTTGTAAGGTTAGCAAAACTATCAGCCTCATGGTTTTGATTTATAGTTAGTTACATACTGAAGTTTTGCACTGGAACTTAAAAACATCTTCCCATAAAAACATGAATAAGAAGGGACTGACTAGAGATGCTGAAAGGCAGAGTAAGGTAAACCAATATCTTGAACAATGAAAATGCTATCTCTAAAAAGAATGATCCTTTAGGTACTACAGCTGAAGAGTCTGTTCATCATTTGAAACCAACTTGTAATTCTTGTTATGTTAAATGGTTTGAGTGAATACAGGGCCTGGGAGGGTAACTAAAACTTCTGCTTGTTTGCCTACTCTTTTTAAGGTATTCCTCAAATACTATCACGTGGAGCAGCTAAATTTAATGCGGAAGGAGACAGTTGACATGATTATTTTGATTCAAGCTTATGTCAGAGGGTGGCTGGGTTCAAGGAGATACAAAAAGATAAAGGAACAAAGGGAGCAAAGTGCTATTAAAATACAGTCAGGTAACAGCTTTAAAACATTTAACATTTTGCTTAAAGCTAGTGCGTGTGTACGGTTGATAGATGAATGTGTATGCTGGATGTGGATTTTGCTCTTTTCCTGCTGTTACATTTGACAAAGTATCTTATATTTGGTGATATCTGATCTTATGAAGAAAAATTTCTTTTGACCAGGTTATGACAATCGCTTTACTGAAATTACATTTCTCAATGTTACATTTAAAAGGCAATTTTAAGAATGGAACAATGTGATTGCACAGATGATACTGCTATTAATAATATTCTGGCATGCACTGACAAGGTTGTATAATATAATAATGAAAATAAAATGTATTAACTGTCCTAGATAATAAGGCCAATTACCCAGTTGATGGAGGCATCAACTGAATTTTTTAATACTTTCAAACATCATCTTATTTTACATTCTGATTCTCTTATGTTTTGTATTCATCTAATTCATAATAACTTTACTTACCATAAAATGTAGTTTTTATGTAGATTTACTATTTGTGCTCATTTGCCATGTTTATCGAAAGATAAATGCTGCAAAATATTTATGAATATCTTAATAGAGGTCTGTAATTCCAGACTTTTTTTTTTAATTCTTAGAGCATTTTTAGTACCTAGTGAATTATTTAACTTTTGACATCTCTTTTCAGCTTACAGGGGGTTTGTTGCTCGTAAAGAATATAAAAATGCAAAACATAATAAAAAACTGGAAGAATATCTTACCAGATTTCAAGCAAGTAAGAATTGTTTGCTTTTGTAGCTTGTATTGTTGTATCCATTCACAGTATGTTGATCCAGATTCTAACTACACTGAGTTACTATGCTCATTTAAACATTCTGAGGTATAATTTATCTATTATCTATCTATATACACTGGTTGAAATGGATCACTATATTCTGTTATCTGTACCTCAGAGTGGTTTAGAGTCACTTTCCATGTCTGTGAAGTGGGATGCTCAAATGCCATAGCAAGCCTTTTCACTCCTAGTCTAAGATGTTCAAGTATTACAGCTGGTATTGTTGAAATCCATATGACACTGTCTGTATAATGTGTGCATTCATGCTGTTCAGTTAGGACTGGGTTTTGTTATGTATCAGTAACAGCTATATTTGCGAAGACTGCAATCTGTAATTTCACTGTCTCTTATTCTTTTTTGCCCATCGCTTTGTTTCTCTTTTGTAGTGATAATGACCTTGGGCCCAGATGTATACTATGGGACATCCCCTTTTCCTTCCTGTACTTTGGTCTCCCCTGTCCCTGCAGAGATGTCCCCAAGCCATATGTAGTCTAGGCAGCTCTGAAATCAGGAGCAGTACAGCTAGAGAGACGCAGGTCTGAAGGCCAGGTTGGATGAGGCTTGGGGAAATCTGGTCTAGTGGAAGGTGTTCCTACCCATAGCAGAGGGTTGGAACTAGATGATCTTTAAGGTCCCTTCCAACCCAAAGCATTGTGTGATTTTGTGGTTCTATAAAAACTGCTGGCACAAATCTGCAGAGCTTTTTCAATAATTACAAAGACGACAACCCAAATATGAGCTAGTGCTGCGAGTACCCAGGTTATCTAGATTTGAACTACCTCAGATATGCCTTCATGAGTATATATCACCACCAGCGTTGGTTTTAATCATTGTCAGATGCATCTGTTAATTGCACTGAGTCAGTGCTAGTATGTACTGAAGATCACTTCACTGCAGTTGGTAGAACTTCATCAGTGTAGAAAACAATCTAAAACCTGCATAAAATCCAGTAAAGAACCAAGAATAATTGGACATCTGAAAGTTGTCAGTTATATTAGGATATTTAGCAAATGCAAAAGTATGAATTTACCACTTTGCTCTGTTGGTATCCCCAATGTTTCTTCTTGTCCACCTTCTCTGTCCTGTCTGCAGTTTCATTTCAACTTTTTTTCAGTCATGAGAAGCCAGGACAAAATGGAAGTCCATTTTTACTTAGCTCCCCCGGTTCCCCTGCACCCCCATTTATTTCTAAATCAATGCAAAACTCCTCTTTCAGTTTAAAAACAAAGCTTAGACAGCTAGTATCTCATAGCAAAGTTCTCAGAAAACTTCAAAGGTGAACCAGAATAAGTCTGTAAAGATCAGATGTATTTTATATTAGCATGTCTATTGACAACATAACTTGATTTGTTTCAAAATAACTTCTGTTGAGTTGGTTTTGTATGAAAATGGGATAAGACTTGACTCATAAGTTCAAGAAACTCTAGAAGTATTCCAAGTGCTTTACAATTTGCACTTTCCTAAGGCCCTGTCAGACTGCAATATAAAACCCAATTGTGCTACTTCCAATAAGTATTTGGGTTTCTTTACCCTATATCCAGTTATTAAGGTGTAATTTATGTCCTTTTATATGGTGTTTCTGAATGAGTGCACCTAGTGGAGCCCAGGTTGGTCTAGGTTATGAGTGAGGAATGTTAAAGCACATGAAACTGAGCACTAAGTTATATGAATGTGTTAAAATAGACTCCTTATGCTCCCTTCTCATTCTTAAGTGAGCTTGACCTTTCATGTGATGCAAAGGATTCTCAGCATAGTTGGAGTAAGAGCTCCCATAATCTACCAGATCTGCAGGATATCTAAAGCACCATAAAGTACTCTATACTCATACTCTTGGTACTGCATTTGGAATTAGAGTTCAAAAGAAATGCTTTGACAAAACACTATGTCCTTTTTATTTTGCCAGGGATTAGTGGATTTCTGCTGAATCCCTGGAATTGCAGACTTGTCCAAATCACAGCACTGTGGAGACAGTGCCAGTTCCCACTAGGAAATTATTTGCAAGTTCAGAAATTTTTGAAGCAACATTCTGAATGCAATTCAGTTTCTGATTAAGACACTACAGTGTATATGTCTAAATGTGATCTAGGTGTCTAAACTGCTCTAAGAGACAGTAGAGCCGAGAGTTTGATTCATTTTATTCAAAACCACCAAATGTTCAGCTCATTTGCCCCTACATTGATATCTAGTGTCATTTGAGGTGCCCTGGTTATCCTGCTTGGCCTCCAGCTTTATTTCACATTGTTCACCCAACTTTCCCTCTCCAGGAAGTCCCACCTGGCTTGTTCTTTCTGCCAGCTCCATGTAAGACGCCTTCGCTATCCTGGAGCACTTCAGATGGCACTAGATACCAATGTGCCAGCAACTGCATCAGGGCCCTGGTGACTTATTAGCACTTACCTGTCTCAGGGAAGACCCATGTCTGAGTCCTTATTTCTGGTTCAGACCAGAGACTTTAACCTGTGTCTCCCACAAAGCACAAGTAGTGAGTTCCTGTGCCACAGTGTACCTGGTTACTGTGGAGCTTAGCACATCTTTCCCGCTGAGCTTTTTCATTTTGAATAATGAGTCTTTGCAGAAGGAGCATGAGCTAAGTCTTCTGTAACTACTGAGCTATAAAATTTTCAGTTTTTCTCTGATCTATTGAATGTTCATCTAATTCGAGGCCTGTGCCAGCTGACAGCCTGGTAATCTCTATAGGCTGATAATCAGACATTTTCTAGGGAAATAAAATACAGAGTCAAATCAATTGCCTGAATCAGGCAAAGCGGGTACAAGAAACTCAGAGTACTGTGTTCTAGAGGCACTTCCATAGCTCTATGCTTCTGCTTCATTCTGCATCTTCCTGTATTTTCTTTAGCACCATAAAATATGAGGAAAGAGCTTGTTTTTATCCTCATGTAGAATGGGTACAGCTTTTTAAAATCTCAATAAAGTTTTGTGGGACATCATAATTTCAGATGAAACATAATCATAATGGGCACCCTGGTCTGTATTTCCTTACTGGCTTTTGTTTAATGCTGTTATCATCTGACTTTCTGAAATGTGTGTGACACCCATTGTTTGTTGCTTTGCATTGCAATTTTATCAGTTGCCAGAGGATACTTACTCAGGAAGAAGAGGAAAGAACTAACTGAGACAAGAAACAAATCAGCAATAATAATTCAGTCTCACTACAGAGGATATAAGGAGAGGAAGATCTTCAAAAGCAGAAGGTAGTGTTATTTTCTCTTATGTCACTCAAATGTGTCCCTTTCCAGTCATTACTGAATAACAACATTGTAAGCTACGAGTGAAACAAATTAGGGTTATTCTAGATATGTAGGCAGAGGTAATGTACATTTATGTAGAGGTTTGTCATGTCAGTAACCATTTTTATCATCTTTTCAAGCCCAGGGAATAAAGGCATATTTAGGGGAAAGATCAACAATATTGTGCTTACCGGTAATATTAATGGAAACTGTAGATGAGTCTCTTTTTGGAACTAGCTCATCATAAAAGTGGTCAGACAAGAGTGAGATAGATGTCTGCAAGGAACTGCTCTTCATCCTAAGCCTCTGTTTGAGATCAGCATAGGTGATGACAGAACGAACCCAGTTGTCTTGCTCAGATCAAACAGCTGCAAATTAAGTGAAGTGAATCACATTCTAAATATCTCTGCAATGTCCCAGTCTCTGAAATAGATCTAGTAGCACTTTGCTCATCTCCATCATTTTTTCAGTGATAGAATTTAAATAGGTGGAAACTAGTCCATAGCAGTGGAAACAGCTGTGAAGGAGCTCAGAGTCTTTCAGTGGGAAGGAACAGGGTGACAGATTTCACCTGGCACTAAAGTTTTATTGATGGTAACAGTTTAAGGAATATGTTTCTCAATATGACCTGGACCTATGCCCAGGATTACTCTTCTTGCATTCCTAGTGTGACTTGAGAAAGTTTTCTTTCATGAGTACCTTTAGGACTGTGTGTATTTATATATTCCTGAGATGCTAAAAAGTGCCTTATGTTTTTCTTAACATTTAAATTAATTCTTTACTTCTTTATCAGCCTTCACACAGCCTAGATTGTCTCCCTCGCAATTTTCTCTGAAATTCAACAGGGATGTCCCTTTTCACTTGAAGAGATAGTTATGATAATAATGATGATGATGATAATAACAATAATAATATATTGTGCCTTTTCACTTTAACAGATAATAATAACAACAACAATCTTTAATTCCAACTATATGCACTAAATCTTTCCTGTGTTGCAATGTATCAAATTGCCATTTAGTACACAAAGACCACCAAAAGTAGTTGTAAAGTTATCGCTATTCTTCATTTCCTTCAGCTATAATTTTTATCCAAAACTCTGTTCCATCCAGGGAATCACTTAGAAAGCACCAAATTGAAAATGCAGCATCCATTAGCAAGAAGGAAAATGATGAAGAACTTCAAGATAATGAGGAAAGTCCAATTGGAGTGAAGAGTGCCCTTCCTAAAAAGAAAGAAGAAGCAGCTATCATAGCAGAGGATGAATTATCTGCTGTGGAATTCCTTGAAGCACAACTGCAGCCAGCTCAAAATGATGCACTGGAAGAAGCAGCAACTGAGGAGAGTCAAGATAAAGCTGATGCAGTCACTGACAGCAGGTGTTCTGAGTACAGTGACACGGGGAACGTACAGGAGCAACAGAAAACATCAACTGAAGAAGAGGCAGCTTCTGTGAAGCAGAACCCTGCAGAAGGACATAGTAGTGAGGGTGAAGAACAGGACTCTTTGGAAGAGTTACCCAGCAAATCTTCTTTCAAAATCACAGCTGAACCTAGTCCCCAGAGAGATCAAGATAATCAAGACACACTCGGTGCAAAATGGCAAAATCAAGAATCTGCTGTGATCCACCCCAGGACCGACAGGGATGTGGAAAGAAACAACCTGAAGCATGAAGCAGTGATGCCTACAGGATGTAAAGGAATTATGAGAAAAGAGTCACTAAGAAGAGGCTCAGGAAGGCAAGCTGAGGCAGAAAAACAAGGTTCAGAAGACAAAGAGAAGGCAGCAGTGGTTATTCAGAGCAGTTACAGGGGTTACAGAAGGAGGGGACAACTCAGAAAAGAAGGGAAACTACCCTGCAAAAGTCAAGAGAAAACTATAAAGTATCCAACAGAAGCAGTATGCATTCAAAATAACAACCCCCAAAAAACAAAAGGTAGGGAAAGCGCCAGTACACATGCTGAAGACTCTAAGACACTCAAGGGAGACTCAGAGAAAGAGGCTTGTGATTTGGCAGCCTTTTCACGACAGGTAAGAAGCTTGTAAGAAAGGTATGTTGAGCAAAATACTCTGGCAATGACAGAATGGCAAAGGTATTTTACTGACTTCAGTGGCACCAAGGTTTCACTCTCTAAACTAAGACAGAGATTTTGTCATTTGTGTTCTATAAAAATGTATACTTTGGTCTGCAAGAGAAAACTGTTGTCAGGAAGGAGGAAAATACAAAGAGCACTGGCAAAAATAATGTTTTTAAGTTAAATGTTTTTAAGTCAAAGTTTTTAAGTTAAAGCTTTACCTTTGTTTGTTGAAATGTTTGTTTACCCATCAAAGTCCTTAATTCAGTAAACTTATGAAATGAAACTAAAAGTTGCTGTGTTGATGTCCGGGACTCACACATGTGCAGAGAAGTATGCCTATAGCTGTAGAAGCAATCTTGCATCAGCAAGGCACCATCTGCTCACAGATGTGAACCAATAAGAAGTAGCTGCAGGACTGATGTGGAGTTTCCTATGTGTCTTTTTTTTGTTTGTTTGTTTACTTTTCTTTAGAAGACCCTCAGCAGGTCTTTTCACTTTATTAGAACATACTATCCACAGCTGGCAACTGCTAGCCCCTGTAAAGGGCTCACTCTAAGAGTTTCTGAAGTAGCACTCTTTATTATTACAAATTGTAACAGGTTAATAAGGTTCAAAGATTGCCAGAGACAGTATCTGGCTGCAAAAACGTATTTAAAGCAATATACTATGCTATAAAGCAAGCTCTACACCTAATAGCAATATTCAGCAAATATAGAGTATAGGTCTTACCCAGTAGGTGTCCCTATAGGGGGAGAAGGCAGGAACAGCCTGTCAACTTATCCCAGCAGATTCAGTGGAGTCTTTCCCATTTTCTTCCTATTCTCAACTGACTTTTATATTAATTCTTTATGATTAGGTGGAGCTTGAGTGACTTTAGTCATAAATACCTTTGTTTCGTATTGGCGTAAAATTCTCTTCCTTCTCTTTGAAAGATGCAGTCAAAAGAATACAGGGTCCATGCTCAATGGGGGGGTGGTCACACCTTAGAAGTGGGTAATTTGGGGATGGAGGTGTGCTTTGATGTTACTACTAGGCTTTAATGAACCAAGTTCATCTGAGGAGAGGGATTTCCACATAGTTGTTGGCTCAGCAGCAGGACATCATCTATCTCCCTTGGCTGATAGGTGCTATGCAGTCTTGGAAACTACAAAGTACCACCATGTCCCCCCACCCCTCCCTGCAGGGACTTCTGTGGAGGGAGGCCAAGTTTGTCCACTCTACTCAACCCTCTGTTCCATCCCCCATAGCAGGTGCTTATGGTATGTGGAGTCTTTGTGGAGCATGTCGACTGCATTCCATCTGGGGAGTTTCAGCTGCATTTTATCCTGTAATTCTTAGTCTCCTCTAATTTTACCCTCAGACATCTTCCTACACTGCAGTAGGTGGAGCAATAACTTTTAAATTAATTCTCTAGTCCACTCTTTTACCTTTGATTACCTTGGAACATTTATAATTGTTTCTACAGTAATATAAAGGCCTGTGGTATATTTTTCAGATATCAAAATTATCCGAAGACTACTTAGCACTGCAGCAAAAACTGAATGAAATGATATTGTCCCATCAGCTGAGACCTGTGATGCTGTCCAAAGATAAGCAAGCTAATGGCCGTCTGTCTGCTCATGTTTGTCAGCCAGGTAATGTTTAACCTTACTGTTAGCAGAATTTTCATTTGTGAAAAGGACTGTGAAGAAGCAACTCCTAGTCGTGTTTTTAAAGCCCAGGGAGCTAGCAGTGAGTTAGTTCCAGCTTCTCATTTAACTCAGGCAGTATATTAAGCCCTGTATCATTACACATCTGGAACACAGTTTCCTGAGAAATATCCAAGTCTGGTTAGAATTTATGTATTTACAATTTTTCTTGGCATTTTGTTTCAGTGCTGCTTAAGCTTGATGAATGAATCCTTGTGAGACCTAGACAAAGAATCTCTAGAAATACTTTTATTTGGTAAAAATTCTGTATTGGCTCTTTTTAACTCATGTCACTCAACTATGTGTGCTATTGGTAGGATATGGGACTATGCTTTGAAAACAAAACAGTTTTTTAAGTAATATGTCAAACAGTTAACCAAAGTTTGTTACATATATGCTGAGTAAATTTTTAGCTATCCTTAAATGCAACTGAGGTTATTCAAAACCTGTAACTCCTACTCTTGTTGGTGGGTATGTTCTTAAAACTGCAAGTAAAGTTTTATTAATATTCAGCATCCATTTAACTCACACACTTAAGAGGACATGACCTTTGGAAATACACTCAAAAGTTATTTATATTCCAGTTAACATGGGCAGTGAAGATTCCCAAAATGCAAACACGCTTGGAGCAGTTTAGGTGGTACTGGGGAGGGATGCTGGGAGAATAAAGGTGGAAGACATGGAATTCTGAGTATGCAGATCATTAAGACCTGTGCCCCACTGAGAGAACTGATTGAGCTGCTCAAGCCTCTTCAGTTTGAATAGACACTACAGGGAATTTCCTTAGCCCATGTCTTGGGCCGCAGATGTGGAGGAAGATGAGGGCAGATGTGGCAGATAACTGGGTGGGTCTCCATTTCTGCAGCAGGGCTTGTGCTAGCCTGCTGCACTTGCCCACAGGGGAAGATATCTGCTCACCTCTGCATAGCTGGAACAAGTAAGAACCAGGACTGTCTCTTACTGCCCAGAGATAATTGTGTTATTTTCATTATGCCATTGTGAATTCAGTTGTCATGTGTGATGAAATTGCTTTCTGTTCCCATGAATACATTGAAAAGATCCTAAAAGTACTTCAATCCCACTTTGGAGTCCTCTCATATGGGAAAGCTGCTAAAATAGGGGCTTGGTGTTTACAAATGCTAAACCTCTAAGTGTAAACCGGCTGCTATATAATCTGTGTAGTTCAGCTTATTTCCAAGACCAGAGTCTGGAAAAGAAAAGAAATGGGAAATGGAAAACTAAGTGCCATGACCTTTCATTAAGGGCAGAGCAATGTTTGTGATTGCCATTAATGGATTTGTACTGAGTTCTCTATTACATATTGCTGACTTTTGACAAGATACACCTGAGGAATTAAAAATGCATACTTGGGAAAATAAGTCTTGGTGCTAACATATTTTCCTGCAGAAGCTAGAGAAAAGAGGTAGATAGAAGGAAAAGGAATACACAAATTCCTATTTTATCAGTTAAAGATCTCATCAATTTCACAAGCAAACCAGGTGAAAAATATAACCATATGTTCATGCCATGTGCAAAATGCAATGGTCTATGCTTCACACCGCAAATAATTCAAGTAGCTCTATGGGAGACAAAAGTACACCAGTGTTTGTCACCTGTGTCTCCAACCCTGTCTAAAGGGGTGACCAGTCAGCCACTTTACTTCCCTTTATCTCTGAAAATGGTGTGCTGATGTAAACCTCTGTGGTGTCACAATGCAGAAGTTTTCCAGTAGTAAAGTGTGGTAACCACTCCACTGAAAAACCCTTCTTAATGTGGAATGTGAACTTTCTTTTCCTACATCTGAATGTAATTCACATGACAGGAAAACTCTTTCCTTTCCAGCTATGACCAATGCACAAGATACTAAAGCAAGAGAATACACTGCAGGAATTCCCCAGCCTACCTTCCAGCCAGTTGGAGCCCAAGCATTAGAGAGCTCTATCACAAACCTGCATTGTCTTAAGTAGATGTTTATTATAATAAACATGATCTAACTAGATGTAGGGAATATTTAAGTAACAATATGCCTGTGTTCAGTTCATTTAGATTGTACTGTCTAAAACACACGAGTTACCAACATTCTGGATCCTACTTTCTTCCTGAATGCAATATAGTAAAATAACCACAAAAAAACCCAAATATCTGAGGTAATGTACTGCAGGCAGTCGGGCTAAAGTGAAGCAGATAGAAGTGGTGAACCACTGCCTATTAAACAGGGAGGAATCTTCCTATCTTCTTGCCTACATTATGTATTACAGTAGGATTTACACACACACATTTACAGAAGGATATGCTTTTACTGCAGCTTTCTCTCTATGGCTACTTTTGCTGTCCTACCTTTATGAATGCAGGGATTGTTGAGCTTTAGGTGTTCTTTAAATCATGTGGTATTTACCTGTTCATAATTACTTTGTCATTTACATTTATATACACTTGTTCATCAGCTTCATTAGTTTTATATGCTGTTTTGCAGCCATAACATGTGAATTGTATTTTATAGCTGTGTGCTGGATAGGAATGCTTGGCTGCCTTTGTCTGTGGGTAGGTGGCTATTGCACAGTTTGAGAACTTACCACTTCCTCTGATAAAATATTTTATGACATTGCTACCCACAGAAGGGAAAGAACTGAGGGACAGCTGGATGGTGTACTGGGAAAAATGTTCAGATTTTTGAAACTGTTTGAACTGAGGTTTTTTAATGAAAATGCAAAGCTTGCAGTTCAAAGAGCATATGAGCAAAATGTTAAATGAATCTTAAATCCACAAGGTTAAGTTGTTCTTAAGTGAATTTATTTGTATTTATAAAATGCATAAAGCAAGCCACACATGGTTCCTAGAATAAACAATATTCCCTGTGGCTAGAATCTCTGAGTAGGTTATATTTACTTGCTTAAATGCTTTCAGCTAAATGTAGTGGCTGCATCCCAGAACTGCACCTTTGGACTGCTAGTGAGCCTTGAGTTACTGTGGTGTCAGAATAGAGGCACAAGTAGCTGCTGTCAAGTTTTTTGAGGTCAAAGCCTGCAGTGAGGGGAATTCAATCATTACGAGAGCAAATTTTTTTTCTTTTTTCTCCAGATAAATAATAGTGCTCATCTTTCTAATTATTAAATGACAGTTCAAGTATAAAATCTTGAGAATTTTCTGTATTTAGAGTGAAGTTTACATGGTATAAGGAACTCCAGTGCAGCTGAGGACCTTCTCAGCTAGACAAAGCAATGAGACAGGGATTTCATCCATGATTCCTCCTGCTGTAGGCTGTCAAAGCAATATTTATGGGAGTTTAATGGGCAGAATTTGCAAGGAAAAGGGAGTCTGTGTAGCACTGGGTGAGCAGAGCAGTATTCACTGGCCAGACTTTCTTCTTTGCAAGTGAGTGATCAGGCAAGGAGCACTGGGACTGGAGAAAACCAGGATAATCAAGCACTTCTACCGTCTGGTTGTTCTCAGCTATTGGAGTGGCCCTTTGGGCACTATACAGCCAGGACATAAATGGTATGTGTTTGGAGTAGGTCAGATCCATGGCAGAACATAAGATTTAGGAGGTCATGGAACTGGAGTACAGCCATTTTACTTAAATATCTTCTCTTAAAAAGGAGTAATCCCAGGTCACCAGGCTCTCAGAAATGAGAGATGCTGGAGCAAGTCCAGAGAAGGGCAATGAAGTTGATGAAGACTCTAGAGAGTCCTATGAGGAGCAGCTGAGGGAGCTGGGGTTGTTAAATCTGGAAGAAAAAGAGGCTCAGGTGTGACCTTATCACTCTCTACAACCACCTGAAAGGAGGTGGTACCAGGTGGGAGCTAGTTTCTTTTTCCAGGTAACCAGCAACAGGATGGGGGGAAGTAGTCTTAAGCTGTGCCATGGGAGGTTTTGGGTTTGGCATAAGGAGGAATTTCTTCATGGAAAGGGTTGTTAATCATAGGAATGGACTGCCCAGGAAGTGGTGGAGTCACCATCCTTGGAGGTGTTCAAGAAATGACCAGACATGGTGCGTAGTGCCATGTTCTAGTTGACAAGGTGATCAGTCAAAGGTTGCGCTGGATGATCTTGGAGGTCTTTTCCAATGTATAAGATTCTATGATTCTGTATTAGTGTCAGCCAGAAACTGAAACTTCCCTCAGTGGGGCTGTGGAAATTAGGTGTGAGAGATCAAACACTTTCAACTTCTGTATGCAATCAGAAAGTTCTCAGTTTCTTGCAATTTCTACTTCTAGGTTGTGACAGAATAAGCCCTCTGTTTTTTCTAGATCGCTATGAATTTGCAGCCACAACCATAATTTCCAAATCTGGCTCTGTTAAACATCCCATGAATAAACAATACTTAAAAATTACTAACAGCACTGCAAATTCCAACCTTGAGTAATTATGTCCTCGTATTGTGTACAATTAGAACAGTAAAAAGGTATGCACATAGATATTGTAAGCAGTAATACCTGTTAGCTTCTCATTATCAAGTCCTGGAATTCCAGTTACTATATTTGCATTTGTTCTGATTACTTCCAAGTCCCTCTACAAATCCTATACAATTACTGTTTTTACTCTTGTTTTATTTCCTGCATTATTCTGAGGCTGGCTTTATATTTCTGCCCCCATGAGATGTGGAACAGCTCTAAATCAAACATGAAACATTTCACTTAAATGACTTGAAGATGGGTTTATCTGTTTCTCCAGGTGGCCTAATAAATAGAGACCTTTCATCACGTAAATGCTTATCACAGCTGTAACCATGCTATTTCTCCAGTCTTCAGTATAAAATCTGTTGTAAGTCATAGTTAATTTACATTAGCATCCATGGATGTTGATTCCTTGAGATTGCTGTCTTCCAGGCTTATCATTGTATGTAAGAATGTGCAGAGAGTTCAACCTAAAAGGCTGCTGATGCTGACTCATCTTTATTCAAACATTTCTTGCTCATCCTTGAACGTTTCAAGCACATGCAGCTCTCCACGGTTCCTGTAGTTTGCGGTGCTGTTCAGGATACGCTTACACATTTGGAGCTTTCAGCAAGGGCTGAGTGTGAAAGTAGTAATATTTGTAGAATTGACTGTGTGTGTAACTTAGGTAGGAACCTTTGAGGTAGTGCTACATGAGCTAGCTGAGACACTGATAGGAATAAGGAATTTTCCTTAGACTTGCTAAAGCTTATTTAATGGTATCTGGCAGCCACACTGTTCACATGCCTTTGCTGACCCTTAACTCTGTATTTCATTCATTCTCATGGAGAATGACTTTAACTTTATTAAACTTTCCATCATCACTGGATTAAATGTATGCTTTGACAGTCTGCTTCAGGTTTGGGCAGGAGCGAGATTTAACTTCCTGGGAATGTGTTAGGGCATGGCTGACATTCGCAGTCAAAAGCAAATAATCCAGGTCAAGAGAGCACAACCTCTTTTTTTTTTTCTTTTTTTTTTTTTTTTTTTTTTTTTTTTTTTTTTTTTTTTTTTTTCTTTTTTTTTTCTTTTTTATTTCTGACTAACCAAATACTGACTAGATGCACTTGGGCAGTTCGAGGAGGAAAACCCCTCCTTTCAACCTGTTGTTCAGCCTGTCTTCCTCTTGGTAAAAACCTTTAAAAGGAATGTCTGTGTTGCATCAAATGTTGTTGTTTCCAGTTTCTCCTATGCACTGCTTCTAGGTCACGTATCACAACATTGACAGCACCTGTTCAGGGACTGTAACAGCAAGGGGTGGGCTGGCTGCAGGGGCAGGAGTATCAGCACAGTCCTTCAGTCCAGCTCCTTAGCTCTGCTAATGACTAACTGGGATATAAAGTTAAGCAAGCCTCCATGTGCATCTGATTTACCCTGCCAGTAGGATAGGGATGATAGTGCCAACCTGACACTTTCAAAGCGCTTCAGCAGCTACTGTGTGAATGGTCTTTGTATCAAAGTACCTATTTAAATGATTGTTAGAGGGAAAGCATCAGTTTTCCTTTTACATATAAAGCACACAGCCAGATCTTACTAGAGATACTTGAAGTCTTAAGGAAAATAGGCTTCAAGATATTTTGCTATGGAGAGACTGGACTTCAATAAAAATATTTTCTTTGTAATTGTCTCTAGAAACAACATAATTGCCCTGTCCGTAAATTAATTATTTCACCCCTCATTTCTGCTTCATTGCCTATTGAAGGAAGGTATAGGCTATCTGGAAAACCAGGGCATCAAATTCCCCATTTATATGGCTTGGGTATTTAATCTGCCTTTCATCTTCAATTCTACTGAGTAAATAATTTCTGATAATCTCAGCAATTAATAAAAAAGCAAAATTTACTTTGTATTATCCAATATAAGGAACTATACATCTGCTGAATTTCAGTAGTGATGATCACACAAATCTAAGTGCAGAAGGAAATCACAGCTTCACTTGCTGGTCAAACAAAGAAAGCTAAACCTTACTGTGTAATTTGGAGGCAAAACTCAGAATTGCATTTCCAGCTCTATATTTAATTTTAGAAAGGAACGATGGAGGTCCAAGCTTACGAGGCTGCCTGCCCAAACATGGTATTTCTGTCCCCTCAGTTCTTTTGCCTAGCTCATATATATGTACAACACAAGAGCCAAGATGAAAACCCTTTTTTAGCATTGTCAAAATGGTATTTTTTGAATGTAAAAACTAGTCTTCTTTGCAGAGCACATACACAAAAAGTATACAAGTAATTTCAATTGGAATAATTGTAATCTAGAATATAATAATGCTTTATCTGTTTGACAGTGATGAATTAAATAACATAACAGCATACAAAGTGATGAATTCTTAGGGGACAGTAAAAAAATATTTAAGTATTATGAGAGCCTTTTCATTGCAGTTTTCCTAAAGCCCCCAGTTTGGCTTCATTTCTTTTTTTTTAGATTTTCATGTAGTCATGATCTTTGACACAATTTTTGAAAATGTCCTACAGACAGGGTGGTGTTTCTGTTCAACTGCACTGAATTTTAAAGGATTTCTTTTAAGATAGTATTTCCAGTTTAGACTCCTGTTGTGTTTAAAAATAAAATAGAGAAGATATGCCTCTACTCTTTCACAAATGGAAAGTCAGATAATTCAAGGTGGCCCATTCGAAATGCAGCAAGGTAACAACAGCCCACAATAAGAACACAGTCAGGTCTGCTATACCTATTGAAATCAAGGAATGTCGTTTATATTTAATACAGCTTACTGAAATGGATTTATTGCATCTAAAATTCACTGTTTAACATGAAATATCTGTAACCTGGCTTGGAAAAACACCATTGTTCTCTTAGTGCAAAATGTTAAAAAAAATACTTGTTCATTTATTACACAAGAAGGTCTGCATTTCAGATAAGAAACTAAAACAATAAATGCAATCGTTATCCAACTCCAATTTAAATTAACATTATTCATTCTGGCTTCTCTGTATATCCATGACCTTTACAAGCCTTTATTTATCACAAATAACAAAAAACTTAAACAGCTAATTTTGCAGGACTCAACACTGATGTATTACTGATCGTTTCTCATTTTAAATTATTGTGCTATCTCCTTAATTAAAAATATGTCTGCTCTACATGGGAGAGTTTTTATCATGTAAAAGAGTTTCTGATGGTCATTAGGGATCAAAATACATTTTTCCTCTAAGACTCAATCACATTTAGTTAGTACATCGGGGTTATAAAGTCATTTCATGTGAAAGAGTATAATATCACTAGAACACACTTGAGTAATTCATTGGGATCCAGATCTCCATTCTACCTTCTTCACACTATATTCATTTATGAGTAAGGAGATGTTTTTTTCTCATGGATTGTCCTGAGTATTTCTGTAAAGATAAAATCTCACTGGATGATGCAATATAACTTAGACACATGGTTCATTGTGCCTAAACCTTGTGCTGTGACTTCATTCCTCACCCTATATGTGTCCCTATGACCCATCTCTATCGTTGTTCTGCTGCCATGCAACCACCTTCTCCTTCATCATGAAGGAGTTTCTGTCACCCCCTGTCAACTTCTCCTATAGCTGAAGGGAACAGAAGGTGACCATGCTCACCATGCTGTACATTTCTGGTCCCTCAGCCTGCAGACCCAGCTCTGTGGTCTCCAAGAATAGGCACAAGGAACTTTGCACTCTATTGGCTCTGTGACAAATAGCCTATGAACCCTTAGCAGCCCTTTATCCTAGCACTGTCAAAACTTAGATTTTTAACAAGCAAACACCCAAGACATTTTTATAGTTCCCTATGTGCCATCCAATGTAATCCATAAGTCAGTGTCTAACTCTGAATTGGGAGACTGCCAGAAGTCACTAGTTTCATTTTGTGTTAAAATCTTGATTTTGTTTCCATTAGAGTGAAAGCATTTTTTGCATGTTTGCAGAAAGTTTTTGTAGAAATAGAAACCAGAATTTGAGGACACTAAACTAGACTACACCGAATGTGATGGACATGGTCATGCTGTGTTGCCCAATTGTAGATGATTTGGCTTGAAATTAAAAGCCTCAGCAGGAGACCTTAAGGAAAATCAACACCATGATAATATAGAGGACCAACCTCTGAAACAGCGGCCTAATGTCCTTAAAGATTGAATTGAGTCTGAAAGAAACATCATTCCTGCCACCTGTCCCTCCTACAAGACAGGGGCCTCCCAGTAGCCATTACCCTTCAGAGCCCTTTTCTGAATGTGGAGCACCACTCCTTTCGGAAAGAGAGGTCTGTGCCAGGTAGATTGCTGGGCTGTTCCAGCCTGGCATTCGTTATGTGGCATGTGTTCCTGTTGGCAGTCAGGACCCAAGTGGATAAACCCATTCTCCGCTCATGGAAATGCCCAAATCATTTGCTTTCTTGAGTTATTGTGAGCAGTAGAAGTGGCTATGTGGATTTTTTTTTTTCTCTCTTTGTTGAAATTTTCTCCTGTTTTTTTAAAAGCCTCCCAATTCTGTGAAGAAATAAGCACTTCTATCTTCTGATTTTTTACAGTTATGGCCAAAGTAGAAGACTCTCGCCCAATGCAGAGACCCCCAAGAAGGCCACGGAAACCCAAAACATTAAATAATCCAGAAGACTCCACCTACTACACTCTAATACATGTGAGTTGAAGAAGCTTTTGTGGGCTAAAACTTCCAGATATTTCCCACCTAAACCCTCTTTCTAATTGTCCAATTCCCTATATTCTTTTCTAATGCAGCATAAAGCTGTGTTCTGCTGAGAAGAGGCAGGCCACGAGCTTCACATTTCAAATGAGGCTTGAAATTGAAGTTCAGAGTTACTCTGACTGGGGACCCCTGTCAGACCAATATCTACTTTTGTACCTAAACATACATACTTTCATTATATGCCTAAGCAGTATTTGCATTTTCAATATCCAAATCAAGTGCCCTGTCTCCATAGTTTCTTTGTAAGTCACAGGAGAGAAACAGGAGAGTCACAGGTTCGTTTGGAGAGCTATTTTGAGCATCTAAATTAGTGCTTGATCTTGCAGAGAAAGCAAATACTAAAATAAGCTGTATTAGTATGCACACTGTTACTTCCTTTACAAATGTGTCAGATTGTGATTATGAAGGAACTGGCAAACACCAACAGCTCAGGAGACTAATGGATTTGAGGGTGTCTATATATAGCCTTTGGTCCAAGTTCAGATACCAAGTGCTGCATTCTACTCTTGACTTCAGTGCCCTTAAATATAGCAAAAAAGGCAAGAAAGTAAGCAGAAAGAGAGAAAATGTAAAAACAGCTCCGAAAGCATTTCCAACAAAAAAGCAATTAAACTGATTTGCTCCAGGTGCCTGTATCTTAGTGACCTATTTTAGCAGCCAGTGAGAACCCAGCTAATAAACTAACCGTAGCAATTGCTTCTCCTTTCAACAGAAGGTGTCAGCAGGGCCTTTAGTTGTGTCTTGCATACGAAAAAACACAAATATGGTTATGTTTTATTCTAGAGGCTTTGAAATAACACAGCTTTCCAACAGTGATATTTTGAAAAGAAATTACATTCTTAAAAATATTCATATGTAAGAATAAAATTGTTTTGCAAAAGCAAGATTGGTAAGATAAAGGAATTAAATGAAAGGCATGACAAAGAATTCTGTATTAGGAAATTTCTGAGGAAAAGAGTAATTTTGAAGTAAATGCCTGTTTAGAAAGACAAGACTGTAGAGCTAGGAACATAGTATTTTCTGAATGCTAATTTGTTACAAGGCCAGCTCATATCAGAAAACAGCCATGACATCAGTGCAAAGAAAAACTGCAGTAATGCCAGGAAATTTTTAATCAATTTTTTAGCAGCAGTTTTTCAAGGTATTAATCAATATTACTTTCAATTAATTGTATTTTCAAGAGAGTGTGAAAAAGAGAAACATGCCTACTGCAGTCCGTCAGGATTTCCGATTCTCAGTGACTTTATGGTCACTAATTCTAATGAGTTTTCACTCATTTGCAAAAAACACAATTAAGGCCACTTGCACTTAAAAATACTGCCTTTCAAGTGTGATGTGTTAGGTGCTGCAACAGTGTTGTTTTGGGTGTAGGGACAGAAATCTACTAGAGATAAGACATTATTCACATTCCCTATAAATCTTCTCTCCTCTACATTTCTAGATATCTTGTGTCCTCAGGGTTCTTTTCCACCTAGTATACTATTTTTTAAATGGGGCCTTTGTCTATTTTATTCTACTAAAACCTGTGACGAGACTACAATGGCATTGTGGAGAACAGGATTATGCCTGCTCCCACTATGTTGCCTCTATTCATGGAAGTTCTCTTGGCATCACAGTAAATTTGCCTCAGTGAGATTGTGTTGTCAACTTCATTAAAACAGCTATAGCTATTTGAAGGTTTTAGATCTCCTTTTTCTCTTCTGATCATGATTAACTTAGCTTTTTTTTTTTCACAGTATGGCAACTGAAATTTGGGAGCAACAAGGCTCATCCCATTCTTAGTCTCAAATATTCTGTAAAGAGATTTTTCTGGAATGCTTACTCAGCATTATTTTCTTTTAATGAAAAATATACAACACTCTCCTACCTAATGCTGATGAATTTTATCTTTGCATAAGCTTTCCTTTTAGTATTTTTAATTACTTTTTACTTTCTTAGAAATCAATACAAGATGAAAAACGGAAACCAAGAAAAGAAAGGTAATTTTTTTCATTATCTCACTAATGTCCTTTTAATACTCTAGAACAGTTTTTAGCTGTACTTCAACCAGGAGAATAAGGCATTGAAAAAAGAACGGTAATTTGGTGATTCACAGGAAGGACATTGTATACAAAGTTAAAATACGCAATTTTCAACGACTAAAATCCATTATAGAATTCAGTACTTCAATTTTAGTAAAACACGACCCTTTACCATGGCAACACGAGCATTCTAATAAGTTAAGGTCCACATCAAAGATAGTTCTGACATAGAAAATAATTGAAGGTGCTTAAAATTCCAGTCAAAGCAAATGAGCAACCAGGTTTTTTTTGTTAGCAAAAATACAAAGACTGTTAAAATTCTCTCCTAAAAATATATGACTGTTTGGAAATAATAATAAAATTAAACCAAGAATTATTAATAACGGGTAAAGAAGAGTAGCCCTTGAAATTTCAAACATAGCTGTTTTCTTCACAGCGTAACTAACCTATTTCCATGGATCTCTGCAAAAAAAAAGGAAGTGATAGTTATATTCTGCCTTTCTGTATCTTGGATCCTTATGTGTCCTGTAGACGTGGTTCACAGCTCCTGGCATACATCATAGCTTTATTTTATTTATGTTTCTATACTTAACTTGTCTGGTGCCCCCTCAGTGACACTGCTGTGGCACCACAGCGTGCATGGGATGGCAGCCTGCTCATAGGCGCAAGATGAAAAGGCTCCTTGCGCTGTCCTCGGCTGAGGTTGCAGAATACAAACTCCATAGCTAAAATATGTATCTTCAAGGGTGTTACATGACATTAAATGCATATCAAATGTGCTCAGGGCATCTAGCTTTATTCAACCACAGTTTAAATTGCACTTGACCATGCTACAGCTTAAGGGATTGACCTTATGTCCATGTCCCCCACGTCTGGTCTCTTTCATCTTCTTTTCTGATGTCATTTGGATCCTGAAAAAATTTCACACCTATTGACTCCAGTTTAGAAAAAAAAAAATTAAAAACCACCAAAATCTAGTGTTTTCTCTCTTTTGCCTCAGTTAGGTTTCACTCATCTTAAATCTAGTTAACCACTTTCCTTGACGGCATCTTCCTTCATGTGCTGACTCTATATCAGTGGAACACAGCAATTGAAATCAGTGAATATTTCTGGTTTCTACCAATCTCAGACTTGAATTCTGGACTTCTCTTTTCAGACTGTGCTTTTAGGATTTTTTTTTTCCCTAGCCATTCTAAACTGGATGTCAGGATTGATTTTTTTTCTGTATATATAACACGCTGGATAGCATTTACCTAACAAAATAAGAGACATCTGCATTATGATTTATACCTCAACTAGTTGCTTTAGACTCTCTTCTTGTACTTAGAGAAAAAACAGTAATCTTTAGGAAAATGATTCATCTCTTGCTCAAAGAGATATCTAAAATAGGTCAGATTAATTACACCATAAAAATGCCTCTCCACTGAGTATAATGGCAAGTCCAAACAATTTCAGTCCTATATGTCTCCTTTATGAATATATAAAAGTATTTAGCATTTCAAAATTCAGTATCTGCATTGTACAGCAGTCACACTTCAGAAACTGATTTTTTCTGCCTATATATATTTTTCCTTAGATCCTCAACACATAAATAGAACTGATTATTGTATTTGGTTACCTTGTTTTTGAATGTTGAACGTAAAATTGAAAAGTTAAACTGCTAACTTAGTGTTCTTATTTACTGACAGTCTGAGCAAAGTGCTAGATTTAGATATCTACTACCAAGAAATTTCATCTACTGACTCCACCTCAAAGGACAGCAGTTCTACCACAAGAAGGAAGAGACACCCAAGTGAGCGCAGGACTTCAATTTTAAGAGCTACTGAGCGGTAAATCATACAAAATAGTAATAGGAAAAAATAAATGTTGTATACCCGTGATGAGATATTCAAAAGATTAATAAAAAGAAAAAAAGATACACTTTCAAATTAGACATAAATCTATTCTTTCAGTGATAGAATTTTGCCAAATCAACTGTAAAGTGTACAGCTGAAAATTTCCCATCTTCATATAGGAGAAATAAATGCCGATGTGATTGGTGTTCAGCCTACCTGCTAGTTTTTGGTGTCCCAAGGGCCAGATGAGATGGACAGACATTATGCTGTAAATCTCTGATCTAAAATCAAATTCACAGCAGAACCTAAAAAATTTATTTCTGATCAGTTAGGCTTAAATAGGGTGGTCATGCTCCAAACATTCTGCACATTTTCTGCAGACAAGACTTCAGCTTGACTGCCCCCTTTTCCTGCTCTCCTGTAAGCAGCATGTGTGTCTATAGCCTGTGGTGCACCTCACCAAGGTGGACAGTCAGGAGAAAAACCTTAAATAGAAGGTTCACTCGACCTCTCTCTTCCAATGTAGACTTCATACAGAGTGACCACTGCTGGGTGGAAGGAAATTCATATTATCACTCTTGCCAATGCACCTACACAAATTACACATGCAAACACATAGTTATATATCTTAATATAATTTTGTATTCTTGTGTCTCCATAAAGTGAAGAAAAACTTGGAAAATTATCTAGGTCAAAGGTATAAGGGAAGCACTAAGCATGGGATGATCACTGATTTGAAAAAGTATCTATATAACAGAAAATGTTTGTAGAACATTTAGAATGTAGAATGTTTGTTTTGTGCCCTTTACATATTTTATTTCTGGCCTGTTTTTAAGTAGGATCTAAATTAATTTTAGGAAGGTGTTGTGAAGGCATGGAATTAAAAATAACATCAGGGAATTACTGTATAGTTTACATTCCTTGGAACATGTTGCATTTCTAAGGTGGTTAATTACACCAAATCTGTCACCCTGAGGTCTAGTTTAGGTGAATGAGAGTTTTGCTACTGAGCTTACTAAAAGGAATTTACCTTTTACTGTGTGCTGCTCTGATTGCATCCTAATTAGCCCTAATGAAACAAAACCTGTGTAACTGTTAAATTTACATCGTTGTCTCAAGGGCAGATGAATGCAATTAATAAACATTTCTATACTTCAGTATCTCTTGAATGGGGGTCATCTGGATCTAAAAGCTACAGCCATTTCAATCTACAGAAGTGAAGTTTTATTTGGCAGTTTACCTTTGGCATTGGTATAGGACTGGTAGGATGTATCTTTAGTGTCGAATACTACAAATTTTTGTAATTATTTCACTTTTTAAATAACTCAGTGTTATTTTTAATCTTGTTCCATTGTAACAGCTGGTGCCAGGTCACCATTCCAGCCTGTCAGAGGGGACTTCCAAAATGCACCTTGCCATGTGAAAAAAAAAAAAAAAAAAGCCATAAAAATAGATGGACACTTCCACTGAGCTCCACTGGCAGTTTAAGAACAGAGCAAACAAATTTATGCCAACCAAAAATCTGGTTCAGTAAACATCAGGCAAATGCTACTGCAAAGGATCCCCATGTTCTCAATGTTTTTATGTCCTTTTCTTATGTCCCCTCTGTAGAAGAACATGTTGTTCTTCAGTGTTCATCTGCTTTTAGCATATAATGTGTTTGTTCCTAGGTGCCTGCTCTATGCAGCACAGGAAGAGGCCTATCAAAGACAGTTGATTTCTTTCTTTCTCCTTTTATTTTCCTCCCACGAGGCTGGAGGTTAAGCAGTCAATTAGGAGGGTTTGCCAAGGTAAATGTTTTGACTTTAATTTCTAAAACACTTCTGTGCTTAATCCCTAGGTCGAGGATTGCAGAAAGACCCCTGGAAGAGAGTAAAGCTGAAGATAATCCCTATGACTACAGACGACTGCTGCGGAAGACCTCACAGCGCCGGCGCCTTATCCAGCAGTTCTAGCTGCTGCTGCTGTTCCTGCTGCCATTTGGCTTTTATTAGCATATTTTTTTGTATCATTTTATACCATGTGCTTCCTTTTTTTTTTTTTTAAATCTTCAATGTTTCAAGTTTACAGTGTGTGTGTACATGTGAATTTGAATTACTGTGGTTTACAGCCCAACACCGTTGCAAAGGGACACTGTCAGTCACATATCATACTCTTAAAAAAACCCTAATATAACAATCAGCTTTCTTTTGGGTACTATTGCTACATCCTAAAATTATTAGACATTATTAAGCAGCTTAAATGTAGTTTACTTTTGTCAGTGCATTTTTCTTTTTTTCATTTAATCAGTCTCATTCAATTAAAATAATCATTTACTTTATAGTTCCCTAGATAAGCTTTCAAATTCTCATAAGCACCTTCACAAAACCTTAGTTATTGTTTCTAATAAATTGTTTTACATGAAAAGAAAAAATTGCAAGAGCACCATAGGGGAATTTCTGATCATTTTAGTTACAATGCCTAAATTTTGGGATTACTTATTTGTGGTAAGTGTCCCTCTAAAAAAATGAACATAAATGATTGATTGGATAGCATGTTATGGCAGTTTATTTCATTATTGACTTTGCTGTAAAGCTAGTAGCCAGTTTTAAAGGTCAATATAGTGTGTATAATTTTTATGTTGGAGATGTCCATTTATGGGAAGTATATTCAGCCCTCTCCTCTGCCTCAGCTTTGTGACTAAGTGATGAACTTTTAAATCGTGTTTGCTTTGTTCTCATTTGTATTAGATTTTTAGGAATCTTAATCTCTGGGGTGCTAAGAAAGGAATAGAATTACACTCTCTGGTTGATTGCTGCCAAAATGTAATGATCATCTTAATCAGTTCCACTAGAAATTTAGTGGAAATAAAAGCAATAGCCATGGTGTTCAAATTCCCCCCGATTCTTTATTCAAAAGACCTTCTTTCACAGAAACCACACAGATAATTGCAGCGCTTCCTTTCAGGATTCATAATTGCATGTTCACAGCTGCAAAGCAAGAGAAGGCAAATTTCATGATGCCAGCATAAAGGCCTGATCCTGCTCCCTTGCTTAGCTTTCCTAAACATGACGACTGATAGCAGCAACCAGCCACAGGGGTTGGGTTTTGTCTGTTCCTCACACACATTTGGCTCTTTTCCCAGAGACAGGTAACTATTGCTTCCTGATCTGCAAGTAGTTATAAGGCTGTGCACCAGATTAAAATTTGCTGCAATGTAAAATTTTGCTATAAATTGTTTAAAATTTGAAATCTGTTTAAAGTTGCTTTCTCATGTATTATTAAAACAGTAAAGTAAATAAAAACACACAAAGCAGTGATACAGTTGGCTGTGTCTGAATTACACCCAGAACTGACGAAATACTGTGGAGTGGGGCATGAGGAAGGCAGGGAAGGGCTCACAGCAGCCTCTGGCCGTGGAAAGCCGAGTTACTGTCTACGTAAAATGCAATGTGATGCAGCCACTGAAACAGACTTGTAATTTCACATGAAGAGACTGATTTCATTTAGTTTCCCACCATGGCAGTGTTTTGAAAGACCAGGATATTTCTGGGAGGTTTCACGGGGGGACAGTCCTCGTAACCTTGTGGGTGCCTGCAGAAAGTGGAGAGATACCCTCACAGAACACAGCGCTGGAGCCCCAGGGCCTGGCTGCGAGGAGCATGGGGACCCTGCGTGACCAGGGCTCTCCGGAAGAGCCAGATTCTGGCCTGGTGTGCTCCTTCCCGCCTCCCTGCAGTGTTAGGTCTTGAAATCCCTCTTGTGCCGGAGGAGAGACAGCCGCGACAGAGAAGGGCTCCCTCGGAGACCCTGCCGGGTGGAAGAAGGAGGTCTGGCAGGCTTCAGAAACGACGTCGTGGAGGGAAAGGCTGCAGTTGTTTTCCTGCTCTTCCAGTCTCGCCTCCGAGACCTGCTGCCTCCACGGGGCTGGAGCAAGGAGGGCGGCTTCACCAGGCTGCCCATCCCGGGAGATTGCGAGGATACCCCGGGAGTGGGCCGGGGACGCGGGGGCAGATGCGGAAACCAAAGGCCGCCCCCAGGCAGCCGCGGCGTCGGGCAAAAATCCTCCTGCACCTCCGTAGCAGCCAGAACCCCTCTGCCAGCCCGGGAGCAGCGAGGGCAGCGGGCGTTGCCTACTCCCGAATGGGCCCTTCCACCAGCGCCTTCTTCGCGGCGGCCTGATGGGGCGGAGGGGGCTCCGGAGGGTTGTCCCTTCCCCGCCCCTAGACTGCCCCGCTGCTTGGCGCAGGTGGCAGGGGCTGTCCCGGCCTCGCCGCCGCCCAGGAGTGCCCTGCTGGACGTGCGGGGGTGCCCCGGTGGAGGGGTGAGGGGCGGGAAGTGGGTGTGTGTATTTCCCGTCACTTTGCACCTCACAGGACTGAGGACGTAGTACCAGCTTCCCCGTACTCCCAGCCCTCCCCCTCGGGGAGCAAGGCTGGACCACCGCGGCCTCTCGGTGTAAAACTCGGCGGCGCCGGAGGGTTCAGTCCTCTCCTCCGACCCCGTCGGGCTGCCGTCGCAGATGTCGTGGGGCCGTCGGTGGGGTGAAGACAACACAGGCCACCTCGCTCGCCTTGTCCCCCCCCCCGAGGCAGCTGCAGCGCCAGCGCAGAGTGACCCTGCAGCTCGGGTCTGCCCCCAGCGCTATCCCCGCACCGCCGCCCCTCGATCCTTTGGTGCGGGGCGCGGACTCCCCTGACAGCAGCCGCCCCCGCCGCCGCCCGCCTTGGCGGGCACCTCCCCCTGCCCTAGCAGCGCCACCCGCCCCGTCCCGGGAAGCGGTGCCCGCGGGGCGCGGCCGCGGCATCTCGGCGGAGCGCGCCCCGGGGGCGCCCACGGGAGACGCTCCCACCCACGCGTGCCCGGGGCGCTCCCGCCCCTTCGCTGCCGCCGCCTGGCGCAGCCGCGCGCACTTACACACCCGCACACTCACACTCACGCACACTCGCTCAGGCCGCCTGGGTTGCAGCTCTCGCCGCAACTCGCCCGCCCCGCCGGTTCGCCTCCGCCATGGCAAGCCCCGGCTCCGGCTTCTGGCCTTTCGGGACCGAGGAGGGCTCCGCGGCCGCCGAGAGCCCCGGCACAGGTAGGGGGACGGCGGGCGGGACCGGCCCGGCGGTGCCGCCGTGACAGCGCTGCCCGGTCGGCGGAGCCCCCTTTGTGGCAGGTCGAGCGGCGGGACAAGCGGTGCGGGCGGCGGGGACCGACGGTGGCTCCAGCCCGGGCCAGCGTGGCTGAGCTCGGCGGGGCAGGGGTTCCCGGGGAGCGGTGCCCGGTGTCGGAAGAGATGCCCCCGGCCCGCGTCCGTCCCCACGGACCCTCCGCTCCCTTTTCTCTTTCAGCCAGAGCCTGGTGTCAGGTTGCCCAGAAGTTCACGGGAGGGATCGGAAACAAACTCTGCGGTAAGGGCGGGGTGCCTCGGCAGCTCCTTGGGAGCGCCGCGGGACCTGCTCCGGGGCGGGGGGCGAGGGGATGGATGTTGATGCCGCGGTGCTGAGACCGTGTGTCCGTGTCGCTGTCAAGCCCTGCTCTACGGAGATGCCGAGAAGCCCGTGGAAACCGGCGCCAGGGCAGCAGCCCCCGGGGTAGCGGAGCAGCGGCCGGCCTGTACCTGCGACAAAAAACCCTGCGCCTGCCAAAAAGCGGAGGTGAATTACGCCTTTCTGCACTCAACAGGTAACGCCGCTCCCGGACCAGGCTGCTTCTCTAAAACTAACGAAAAAAAACGGGGATTCGGTCAGGAAATCGCCTCCGCCCGCGTTGCGCGGTGGCGGGGGAGCCCGGCGGTGCCTGGCGGAGCTCCGCGACCTCAGCCCCGGCCCCCTCCGGCGCCGGGCGTTTCGCAAATCTGCCAAAAAACAGCCAAATAACAAAGAAATCTCGAAAAAGACACCAAAGCAGTAAAATCCCGCGTGCTGGAAGCTGCAGCTTTCTCTAAGGAGCACTGACAGCAGCAACCTTCCCTTTGAAGACCCTGCTATGTAATTAAGATTTGAGGGGAGGAGGGAGAAAGAGTGCTCTCTCATTTGTTTCATTTCGAGGTATTTTTGTACTTTATCTTTTCTGACCTTGGAGGTAGCTTCTCCGCCACTGAGTAGATTCCAGCTCCCCGCAGACGTGCGCTAGCCAGGAACTCTCTCGTTTTCTCGGCAGCCCGGGACACGCTCTGCCTGCCTGGCTCCGCCGGGGGAAAGCTGCTGGTGCTGCTTCTTGCCTGACCGACCCCGGGGCACCCCAAATTAGGGGCTTCCACTACAGCCTGGCTCTGAATGAGCCATCGCGCTTAAACAAAAGCTTTGTGTACACCGACAGACTGTGCAGCATTGCCTCAGAAAAAAAAAAAAAAATTAAATTATCAACAAGTTACTTACATTAGGAGAGTCGCCGTGAAGGTATTTTATTGCAAGGCAAACGGAAGGTTTTAGGGTGCTTCTTGTACCGTTTGTTGCTCAATCTTTATTTTTCCTGAGATTCTTTTCCGGTTTTTTCTTGTTTACCTGCTCTCCCTCATTGTCTTAAAAATTGGTCCGAAATATACTGTGGCCAAAATCTGCTATTTTAAATAGGATATTAAATCCTAAGTGTTATCTCTCAGAACATTCCTTAAAAACAGCTTTAGCAATTTGCTTATTAAAAGAAAACAAAAAATATTCATACTCAGAGATTTTCTAAACATAAATGGGAGAAGCCTTTGTCCAAAATCTGTGTATCTGGTTGTTAAACGAAGTTAACTTTTAAATTTCTCCATTCCCAGATCTTCTGCCAACATGCAACGGAGAAATAACAACTATGTCTTTCCTACAAGACGTTGTGGACATTTTACTTCAGTATGTGGTGAAAAGTTTTGATAGATCGACAAAAGTCATTGATTTTCATTACCCAAATGAGCTGCTCCAGGAATATAACTGGGAACTGGCAGACCAGCCACAGACCTTGGAAGAAATTTTATTGAACTGCAGAACAACACTGAAATATGCAATTAAAACAGGTAATAGCCATGCTCATTTTCTATCCTGTATGGTCTCATCCATTGATTAAAGGCGCCATTTCATTTTAGCTTCAAATGTTAAAGATTGAATCAGCAACTGTATTTTGTCAGTTCCAGGCAATTTCTAGCGGAGACAGAAATCGTTTTCCAAAATGATAAAACACTCCAGCAGCCCCATCTCTGTAGCTGTCAGTGCAGCCTCGCACACCCTTTCCGATTTAAAATTAATGTGTCTGTGCGTCGGAGTTGCCGAGTGTGCCACTGTGCAGCCTTTGCACCACCTTCGCCACTTTCCGCTGTTCCTTCTCATCCATTTCACGTGCGATGCCCCGGGGGTCGCCCCTCGTTCCCTGCAGACCCGGGGGTGCGGCAGGCGCAGAGCTCAGGGCAGCCGGGAGTGGGGCGGGGAGGGGTCGTTCCTACGTGGGGGGCAGCAGGGACCAGCCCATTTAACAGCCGAAATCTTAATAAATATGCTGCAAATGGGAGCTCTGAGTAGCCATTTGCTGTGTCTCCCTTTACCTGCAGGACACAAAAATA